CCTCAAAGCGCAGAGTATAAAAATTCATCATCCTTTTTTTCTTTCAAAAAGAAAAAGAAAAGAGGGAAGAAGAGAAAAAGCAAAGAACTGGGCACCGGTAATGGGAAGGTCTTGTATACTGCGATAGTCTCTCGTCATGACCCAATCTGGCCATTCCATCCTCTCAGGGATGCGCGGAATCTCGATGAGAAACCAACTGGACGGGAACATTTGGCTGCAAGGTTAGAGATCGCGGAATCCGGGGTCCCTGAGCCGCCGGCCTCTTAGTGGTGCATTCTCCTGGGGAGTGGCGCCCTCTAACCGAACTGGTTGTCTCCTTGGTTGCCCCCTACACCTGTACCGAAGTATATTGTGTCCAATCAGTGGTCGATTCGCTGAGGGTCAATGTGATGAGTACACTTAACTCACTTATGTCTCTATACACAATCCCACCACTGCTTTTTGTTTTTTTCTTTTTGAAGCCTGGGATGCGAGTGCTGGGACAGGGTCGGATGTGTTTGTCTTTTTGCAAACACATATATATACTTGCTTCTAAGTACATGGAATACGAACAAGCAAGTATATAGACATACATATTATACATATATCTGTCCATACATAAAAAAAAAAGGTACAGATGTACATATATGTACGATGATTCTATCCTGTGGCGCGGGCAATTTATGGCTTAGCACTTGAAAGTCTACATGGGAGCATATACGCAGAGGACATACAGAGAGTTATTCTAACCTCGAGATGGGAGGGGGAAATAAGGCGGATACGGGTTATTTCGAGTGCACGGCTAGTCCCGCCGTTGGAGAGCCAGGCGTTCCAGAACCAAAGATATAGACAGGAAGGGTCATTTTCTTTTGAAGGTGATCAGACGGACACGGTGGAGAAGGGTTCTGCGCAGCAAAGAAAAAGGTAGCAGTGACTATACGACGCTTGTCTCTCTTTTTTTTTCCTTGGTGGAGCGGGAGAGCTGACAGGACACCAGGGCTTTGGGATAACAGGAGGATCTGACCCATCAAGAGAGAACAGACGATGTTTAATGCGGCTGGGGGGGATGATAAGAAGTTGACAGTGGAGTATAGTCCTCCCTCCTCTTCTTTTTGCCGTTCTTCTTGACACTCCTCGGCAACGCAGGCACCCATCTCCAGCTTGTTTTAAACTGCCATGTTGATATACTGTCGAGTAAGGGGGTGGCAAGCCAGGCGTTTGTCCCCTCCTCCCATTCCCTTTTCTCGCCTTCCATGAGGCAGTGACTCTATCTCTCTCTCTCCGTGCATGTGTGTGCGTATCTCGTCTACATAGTATCAGAAGGGCTATATACCAGAATGGCTCCGTTGCAGCCAACTAGCAGGATATAACTCGCCAAGTTGGCTTCCCTAGCTACGCTATTGCCAAAGCCCCCAAAGCTAAAGCTCTAATAGCTGATTCGTTAGCTAAACGTTTAACAGACGACTTGCGCACACCCTCAAGTTCAAAAATGAACTTATTTTCGGGGAAGACTTAACTATGAAAGTCCCTTCGGGAGGCAAAATGAGCTCTTGACTGCTTTCCCCAGAGGGGGTCTGATCGAGATTGGACCCAGATACCCCGTCCGCCATCGCCTTGATCTGAAGGAGGGGGAATTTTAAGAAACAAACGCTGATAATAATAGCCCGTCCAAGAACTGGTCTTCAGCCCTCTCTCGCTCGCTCGCCAGACGAGTACTAATACACATATACTCTTTTCCTCACACACACTCTCTCTTTCTCTCCCTTTACCTCGCCCCACCCGTAGGAGAGATGCAACTGAGGAAAAACTGTAACGAGAGCCTGCGGCCACTCGGAATATCGAGCTGAATTGAATCGTGCATCATCTACTGCAGCGTCAAATGCAGGTGCAAGGAACTCTTTGCTGAAATGTCCCCATTTTCAGGACCCCTTGAAACTACAACCTAATAGCCTGGTCAGGGGAAAGGCTTTTTTTAAGGTACCATATACACACACAAATGTTAATATGCGAAGATTCTCATCTGCAGGATACAAAGCTATAGACACGTATGTTAATGAGCTGGCATCTGGCTTCCTTTTCTTCCCATTCCCACAAGTCTTTGCCCTGAAAGAGGGTTCCGAGATTGAAGTAACCTGTTGCTTAGCTGCTGCGCTCCGTAACTTGTAACCATCCTCCATAAAGGGGTGGGGAGGTGCATTCCCTGTACATATGGTATGCAACTCTTCTACAATAACCATCCAAGTGGTTCATGGGATGAAAAAGCAGATATTTGAGAAGGAAATTTGCCCTGATATTGGAGAAATGTCTGGCCACCTATAAACTCATTTCCCATCACCATCGCCATCGCCATCGCCATCTTAGTTGCATATTTCCTGTAATATCTGTCTATTTGCCTGTCAGGGAGAAAGAAGTCGCACGACGATGGCCTCAAACGAAGCCAAGCATCATCTCCAGGGCAATAGTTCGTAGGCATTATACCTGCTATTATTATTATTATTACCTTCTCTCAGTACATGGTACTCTAACACGCGCCTCAACTGCACACACATGGATCTGTTGCTCCTATTTAACTAATATATATGCAGCCTTTCCGTCTTACCGTCTGACCATGAAGATGAATCCTTCTCTTCATCTTGCATGGAGGAACGAAGCAACTGCACATATCACATCGCACCGATAGATACACTCCCGTATCCTCCGTAATCAAGAGTCAAGGTGCTTATCATCATGTAAGTTGAGCCATCCATCCCCCCCTGACGTATGTATGTATGTACTTCGCAGGCTTTTCCCCTGCACATCGAACCACTTCCGATAATCATGTCGAAAAGTATGTTCAGAATAAACATTGCAATTGCCTGTTCCCGGTCTTCTTTTTTTTTATCAAATTTTTTTTTCCAAATACTTATAATAATATGTTTGTTTCCATGATTCAACTGCGGTACGCACCGCTGCCGCTGCCGCTGCCCGCTTGCCCACTTGCTTCCCTCTTTCTCCATCGAAAAAAAAAAAAGGAGACAAGGAGGGAGTTTTTCTTTTCTTTTCTCCGTCTATAATCCTGTCTGATAACTAGTAATCACTATGTATATCAACCCGAGTCCTGTTAGTTTAAATATAAAATTTTGATAAACGCAGGCGGATTTACATCTCTGCTGCGATAATACTTCAAGCAAAGCAAGATCTTCCCCTTTGGAAACAAAAACCTTCTTTGCCTCCTTTTTTGCTTCTTCTTCTCCTTTCTTGCCGTCAACCAGCAGTACAGATTCAACTAGACATCAGCACTGTAGCTTTGACTACAACTTGGCTTGCTGTAGACGTAAGAGTGAGCCAATGCCCTCTAGATGTGTGACGCTGAACCAGGTTTTGATGCCAACGTTCGTCCAAGATCTGAGATGAAATCTACATAATATAACTATGTTATATATTTTCTTTTTTTCCCTCCCTTCTCTCTTCTTCTGTTTTGCTTCTGCTCCTACTTCTACCCTTTTTAACCGTCGAGCGCCTTACTGCATACCCCATATAGATTCAGGGGAAGATCTATAAGATGTGGTTAGGTCTGTGAGATATGCATCGCCACTCTGCATTGCGGGCATACCTAATTCTATATCAAACCAGAGTAGATTCGAATGTGCAACAGGGTCCAATGCTTAAATCTGCGGGAAGAGGGAGAGGAAAAAAGAATTAAAGCATGGTGGAAAAGTGAGGCAGCGTGGGGAAGATGTCCTGTTCCTGTCGAGAGAGAATGATAGCAAATAAACAGACGGCAGAGGGCGAAGGTGGTGTCCATCGTCGTCATCGTCCATTTTCTCCTTCATCTCCTCGGAATCAGTTCGACTAGTTGGAATTAATTCCCCTTCGTGGAGTTGATCATGATATCAGGTCAAGGAGGCCCCAGAGCCCGCTCAAGCCCTTTCGTCCCATCATCTCTCCCGGGCGGCTCGTGTGGACTGCTCTTTATACAGCAACTTGTAGGAATTAAAAGAATCAAGACACCATCTCATTCGCTGTCTGGACCTGTCATGAGAACAAGACAAAGACAAGAAAGGCCAAAGCAAGGCATATTAATCCCAGTGGCGGTCCAGTGAAGATGGAAGGAAAACAGTGTGAAGGACAAATGACGTTGAATATATCGAAATCTCCAGCCAACCAGCCTCCGAGAAAATAAGGAAAAGAGACGACGTTATGGCCTTTTGATGTAAAAAAGAAAGAAGAGAAAGAAAAAGAAACTATTTTGAAAAAAATGCTCTTAGGCCCAGTCGTACAGCATTTGATCGTTGATCGCCATTCTGTGCTCCGTACGCCCTGTCTCGACCGTTATACTTCAATGACTCGAGCCTTTCGGATGCTTCATCTTATCATCACTTGAGAGCAAGGGACAGCGATGTATGAAGTTCGTTTTACTCGTTGGCCCTGATCTCCTTTTTCCACTCTCCTCCACACACCCCTCCATTCTTCTTCGTGTCATCAAAGCTGCCAAAAGGGTTCTCAAGGATTCAGGGCCAAGTGGACGCCATCAAGCCACGGATAGAAACCTCCCCTGTTCCCCGGAGCAAGGCTTAAGCCCCAGGCGCAAGGGTCTTATTGCGATCGTACCTGCAACAGCCCAGGCGAGGACACAAAATAAGAGTTAAGAAGAGCCCATCTATCCTGCATAATGCATAATTTTTGCAGGCAGGAATCTAATAATAATAAATAATTGGAGCCCTTCCCCTGTTTGATATTGCATATGTTAAGCTAAAAAGAGGTTTGGTTTTCGGTTCCCCCTTCAAAGATTATATATATCATACGCATATATCCGTTAGATATATAGCTAATATTATGCTGCAGGTAGAGGCAGGGATAGAGCATCTCTCCCGTATTATTATTATTTATGTACGCACATGCTTCATACGCCAAACCTGTTTACTGGGAACTGAGCCAAGCCGATCATAATCATTAGAATGATGACATTATCTTCGAAGAGGTTCTTTTTCTTTTCCCAAAGGGCTAGGATGGTCGAGCTTTGGGGGCTTCCCCCCCTGGACCTGGATACCGATCGCCTTCGCTGCGACACACATGTTAACTCAATGATGGCATCAAACCAGCATCCTGGGCCCTGGGACTCGGGAGATATTCTTAACCTTGCCGGACGGACTGTTGACTGTTCTCGGGGACCCGAACGACCATGGCTCGATCAAAAGCTTTCTGCTTCTCTTCCCAGCCTCGTTCCTCTCCTCGACTTATCAACTTATGCATCTCCCTTCACCCCTATGCAGAGTTTCGCTTATACTTCGCTGTCTCCTTCTCCACAGACTGCCTATGTGTCATCCGGGCTATTTTTGCGAAAAAAAAAAAAGAAGAAAAAAGAATGCGAAAAGAAAAGAGAGAAGAAAAAGAAAAAGGAAAAGAAAAACAATTGGCAGCGAGAAGGACGAAGAATTGAGTGCTGCAATTGCAGGCATCTTACACCACTCTGCTTCTCTCTCTAATGCACGCTGGAATATACTGGTGATGTTCCTATTTGCTTCCGCACAAAAAAACATCAATTTTGGCCGAGCTTAATTTATTCCCTCGAAATGAACCCTGGAAGGCTTAAAACGAGATCGATTTGACTACTTATGTACTCAAACATGGTCTCTGTTGATAAGTGCTTACATTATTATGTTCCTGCTTGGTCCGGTTTCATAGTGTGGCCTTCACATCCGAGAAACAACGCCTGTTCATCATCTCTCTCTCTTTTCTACCACTAAAATCTATACACGCTTCGGATGTGCATGCAAACCTGTTGACCCGCCACAGACAGACCAGGGTTCTGTTCGCAGGCAGGAGAAAGCACAGGCGGTCTGGTACTTTATATATACATATGTACCCACTCCGTTGACTCTCCTCTGCCCCCTTCCCAGCGGCATCTAAACCTGCCGCACAATTGTATAGGTCATTTTTTTTTTGCTCTCTCTTTCTCGATTTCAATCGGGTAGTGCAGTGCCGAACGAGGTACGGTTACAGAGAGTATATTCCAGGACCAGATGTACATCTGATCGTGCAGAAAACGAGGTCCATGGCAAAAACGTCAGCAGCATCCGGGGAAGGAGGAGTAAAAGCCAAAAGAGAAGAAAAGATGCACAGAGAAATGGATCGAAAGGGTCCTCGAAGTGGCGGTCATCGAACTACCAGGTCACACAGTGGCGCGGAGAAGAGCGATGGATGGCTGAGCATTCTGCTCGGTTTCTCTTTCCCCCTGGCGTCCGTCAAGCCATTAAAAGGTATAAACTATGTTTTATATGGACAATTAAAGGTGAAGCTGCAGAGTTGCACAGCACCAGGCTCTCTGCCTCTGCCTCTGCCTCTGGGTTCCAGTTCTGGGTTCTGGCTCTTCCCATCCGTCCCGGGGCGCGGGCACATGCCGTCTGGACCGTATGATAGGATCCATCTTCCTTGCCCTGCCGTGCGGAGCCCCGTTAGCATATGAATCTACCAGCAAATCCATAGCAATGGCTCTGAGATCAGACGGCACAATAGGTGAAGAAGCGGGAGAGGGAAATTAAAAAAAAATAAAAAAATAAAAATAAAAAAAATAGAAGAGCAAAAAGAAGACGATGAAGACGGTTCTAGTGTTCGCGTAGAACTTGATCTCGCAGCCTGTCAACTTCTGCGTGTGGATGGCTTTTTTCCCACCATCTCCAGTGCTGGGCTTGCAGAAGACGATCCCCAGCCACTATTTGATGAAAACCAGCACTTCTGGCCCGTGATTGGTCAACGAAGCGGAATCAGAAACAGACGCACGTCCTCGTCTATCTCCAATAGAGTCGTAAGACAAAAGGCGAGAGCCAACCTACATATTCCCAAGGGCGAATTATAAAAAAAGAAACAAACCTGCAATTCGATGTCCGAACTGCTGGTTTGATGGGGAGTTATTTTAGTTAGCGTTCGGAGCCCACACCACCATCTCAACAGACCTGCTGCTACTCTGGATGTATACATCTTCAATGTATACAAACCACCACACCATCTCGCAGAAACTCGTCCCAAGGCTCTGGCGGAGGGGGAGAGGGGGTGCTCTAGATCAAACGGCTGTGGCCCCAATTGTCTGGCGATCTACGCATGCTTAGCGTTTCGATAGTGGCTCGTATTCCCTTCCTTGGTTTGGAGAAGACAGGCGAGTCATTCAACTCTCCGTTGCCGCGACATCATGGGCTAGCGGGTTACCAATGCACCTGGAACTGAAGAGTTATTGAAGGCATGGCGAGCGCCTCCTGCTACGGTGCCGTCTGAGGCTCTCTTTCGATGTCTCTGGACTCGGTGACCTTCGGGATATGCCGTCGATGGCGATGGATGGTGACGCCAGAGCCGGCGCCTCCCCCTCAGGGCCCAGTGGGTATATCCGCACTCGCAGCCTGCGTATCGGTTCCACATACCACATCATCGGGAGGCAAGTTGATTCAGGGGAGATAATACACGGGAGATATAGATACTTCCTCCCATAAGCTTCGACCATCATAACCCGCCCCTCCCCTCTCCCCAATCTAGACGGTTTGAACTAGTTGTGGGATGATCGAAGGGAAGAGGATCAGGAGGGGAAGAGAGAAAAGAAACCAAGAGAGACGAGGCTTCGCTTGTCTCTCCGCACTCCCCACCAGCTGGTGATCATTCTTCAATGTCTGGCGGAGATGGGATGTACTATGGATGGAGTATATCTACTTGGCAGCTGGAGAACGGGAGGAGCGGCCCGTTGTTGCGTTCCCTAATATTTGCGTTATCTCCTACTATCTGGTGATTGTACCCAGAAGTGCAGAGTACTCTGTACAGTGTATTCCTAGAGTGTTTCTCGAGCGTAGTATACAACATCTGTGCTCACATATATAGTTACGAGGCGTTTGCGCCTTTGCATCTTGCTCTTCAGATCCGGGGAAGAAACGAGGCGCCAACCCCATGACATCTACTGCCCGTAGACAGATCCCCCCAAAAGGTAGAGCCCCATATTATCAAGAGCAACTATAGATTCACGCATGAAAAAAAAGAAGAAGAGCCAAATGGTGGCAGCCTAGATTTCGTTGAATAAACAACCAAAGACGATACCATGCATTCCCTCTCGTATATCTCGATGACTTCATACAACTAGCTATCAGGGGGAAGAGAGAGGAAGATACGTAAGCTAAACTCGGTGGCCATCAACCCTGCTAATGGAGCATACTGTGTATATACTCTATAAATGCACACATAACCGCTTGATCCCACAGTGGAGAGAGGTGCTCCATATAATCGACAGCCACGGCCGCTGGAAGCACCAATGCAAGTCTGCAGGTCGACAGGCGTGGACAAAAGACGAAACGTCAGCCATGCGAGGCACGGAAATGCTAGTTAGCCACTCAACCCTTCTGCCACTCCTTGTTTCTTCTCCCCTCCCCTTCCCAACCCCCCCAGGAAAAGCCATCGACGGGTAACAAGAATAAGGCCAATCGAGGCGACAGAGAAGTCCACGCGATGCACCGGAGAAGCGGAGAAGCGCGGTCGATGTACATATTCACATAAATGTGAAGAAGGTAAAAATAAGGGTGAATACGTACGGGTCCCGTCATATAATATGTCATGCCTATACTTGCTTGTGCCCTTGATAACTTGGGTCTATTTTCGTATTTCTCAGGGTGTATATACCCAAACCTCCTGAAGGGCGATGACGCTTAGGGCGGGACATGAGTGTACGTCTCTATGGAGTAATATCTGCATGGGTGGTCGCTTAAGGCAGACTCAGGAACTGCAAGGCTATCGCAAAGTAGTTATTCAAGCAGGGGGAAAAAGAAAGAATAACAATTAATTATTTGTACTGCCGATATAGTATAATATCAGGCCACATATATACAGCGGGTTGTATGATAATGTCTGACTATTTTCTTTCGCACCATGTATGTTCAACTGGGCAAACCCGTATCGTCGCCTGGCGAAGCCGAAATAATATCCCATCGATTCGATTCTCCACACCACCCTTCCCTTTGTCCTGGAACTTGATGCTCATGTGCGATGCTGCTAGGATAATGGGCCCGACGGTTCGGAAGCCATACATTCCCCGGCTGAAAGAGAGACAGAAAAGGGTTGGGTGTTGGTTGCATCGACTCGAACCGTGGGCTCGGTAGGAAACCCTAGGCCAGGCCGCCCTGTTTTTTTTTTTTATTATTTATTTTTGGAGGTGAGCGGAACAATAAACGAACAAGCGAACGGGATGGACAGTGCTGAACCCGCCCGTCTTTCCGCCGGCCCGTCGAGTAAAGGCTTCTTTGCTTCCTGGTCGCGTCCCCCTGCTCCAAACTGTGACGATGAAAGAAAGGAATGGAAAAGAAAAACATTGGAAGTGTTGAATGAAACGGCTCCAGAAGAGAGTCATTTTTTTCGACGCTTCTGATCCCTTTTGTCCGGGCTACTCCGATCCATGTTGTTTGCCTATTTGGGAAATCCCTATTTATCCAGGGTTGCCGGGGAAGAGCTGCCGGTTTCAAGCAACCCTGCCTCCTTGACGAGAGTATAGAACTGCCCTCCACGACGGATGAGTTCGGCAGGAGTATCGAATTCTGCTACAGTGCCTCGGTCAAGCACAACAATCCGATCGCTATCTAGAATAGTGTTGATACGGTGTGCGATCGTTATGATCGTTCGGTGTTCGAAGATACTACTGCGCAACATCTGTTGCAAGAGGGCATCGGTTTCAACATCAACAGCGGCCTAACATTGATCGTTCATATCGCGGTTAGTCGAGGGCTTCACGAATGGGTTATGATAATGATTGATGTCCTGGTGCAATGGGCTAGTCAGGCACTTACAGTTGCTTCATCAAGCACCAGGATGTTGCTAGGAGTCAGTAGTGCTCTAGCCATCGAGATGAGCTGTCGTTGTCCCTGGCTCAGGTTGGATCCTAGACCATATATGCATTAGCTTCATGCTCGCGAATCGGATCAGGTTCCAAAAATCTAATAAACAACCCCGAACAAACGTACCTGCTTCATGAATCTGGGCATCCAGCTGTCCAGGTAGACTGGAGACGTGATCCTTAAGTCGTGCGTGTTCTAGTTGGGAGTTAGCAATGCATCATGCATGGGGAACGCTTAAAGAGCTTGTATACCAAGAACACTCCATAGTTCGGTGTCATCATGTACGTGACGTGGGTCAAGGTTATCTCGAATTGTACCTTCAAACAAAGCTGCGTCCTGTGGAATAATGGCGAGACGACCACGAAGGTCCTGCAAGCCAATCTTGCTTATATCCAACCCGTCGATGCTGGTAATGAGTAAAGCTTGGTAAGCTTCATGTTCCCGACAATTTGGTTCGCCCGTCCACATCCAACAGATAATATCGACTTACCTGATTTGGCCCTCAGCTGCTTCAATGATACGGAACAAAGCCAGAGTCAACGAGCTCTTGCCCGCTCCGGTTCTTCCAACAACTCCAATTTTTTCGTGAGGCTTGATGCTTAGGTTGATTCCCTTTAGCACGAGATCTAATCCGGGGCGGTATCTAGTGCTGTAATTGTTAAATGTCACTGCGCCCTGCGAAGGCCACCCTAGTGTTGGTCTGTTTTTGAATATAACATCTGGCGCTTCGCTTGGGAGATTTGCATATTCGAGTACACGCTCAACAGAAACAATGTTCGTCTCCACCTCGACAGTCTGTCGCACGATCCAGTTGAGAGATTGAGTAATCATCAGTGCATAAGACATCGCAAGACCAACCATGCCAGCAGTTATACCGGTGTGCGAGGTAACAGATATGATAGAGAATATGGCAGACGCAAGGATAATAACGGATCCGATGAACTCAAGCCGTACTGCAAGCCATCTATTGGCACTGATTGAAGGGAAGTAGGCCCGGAGGTTAGCATCCATTCGCCATTCGTTTTCCAGCGCAAAACGCTTCTGCTGTCTGAATGCTCTGATAGTAGAGATGCCACCAAGACTCTCCTGGAAATGTGCAAATATAGGACTCTTGCTAACGCTATCGAGACGCTTAAGCTCTCGTGATGTCCTGAGGTAATACTTTTGGTATCTCAGATAAACATAACCAAGTGGGAAGACCAGTAAAAGGAACCAAGGAGTAGAGATGCCAATGACAACAACCGTAAATACGGCACGGGCAGAATTGGAAAACAACTATAAGTTGGTTGGCTTTAATATCACAGTATGGATGGGCCTGGGTTGGACATACCATATTGAATGTTCGGGCAAGCATTTCATCTACCCGGTACATGTCACTGTAGGGGAACATTAGCCTCTAATCATCATTTATGTATATAATAAGGATGCTGTTAACTGACCTCGAAAAACGGTTAAGGATACGGCCAGCCGGAGTAGTCTCAAAGAAGCTCATGGGAGATCTAAAGATAGCAAAAGCCATCCTCTCATGTAGTTTTCGCGAGGCCTGGTGAAATTTTAGTATCAGATCTGGTCAAATTTTAAAAGTAGTAGTATTCCATACCTCAATAGAACAGAGGATCCAGAGAATCAAAGTCTGTAGAATCACGAGAGCAGACGAGCCAATTCCAATTGCGAAGTAAATTCCAAGGTACTTTCCGATATCAGCATTCTTACCCGCCTTTTCGTTTACCTCTGACCATTTCTTCAGCCAGAAGTTTCCAGCAACTTGTGTAGCGTGTGCCATAACGAGAATGATCAAGTAAGAAGCCACAGCATATAGGTTGCTTGTTGCAGCATATTCTCCGTACACGCTCCATTTCACCTTTCCTTGTTCCATTGTCTCCTTGGTCTGTTTGGATTTGATGATTACTTCTTCATCAGTAAGCTTTCCTCTAAAGTTCGGTCGACTAACGGTGCTTGCGCGGCGCAGGGTTGTAGTGCTCTCACGGCGTGGCTTGCCTCCCCCAGCGCTTCTAATAGGGGCAAGAGGTGCAAAGCGTTCCTGAGCTTCCTCGTTGTCCGAGATGGTAGAGCTATCATCTCCAATTTCAATCACTGTTGATGATGACTCGGAGCTCTCTAACCCGTCATCTCTGCTACTTCCACTAGATCTAGAGTCATCCTCGGTAACAGCTGTGCGGATTAGATTCGCTACTTCTCCTTTCATCGCTAGAAGTTGTTCATAGGTCCCTTTTTCAATGATTGTTCGGTTGCGGAGTAAGGCAATAAAGTCAGCCTCTTTTAGAACAGTAATAGCATTTGTAGCCAAGATTCTGGTTTTGCTAGAAAGAATTCCGTCCTTGCCCAAAACGCGGTTGATAATGTGTCTTCCAACGTGTTGATCGACGGCAGATAGACAATCATCGAGAAGGTATACATCTGCACGAGCGTATACAGCTCTGGCCAAGCTGAGTCGTGCCTTTTGGCCTCCAGATAACGAGATTCCACGCTCTCCAACTTCGGTTTGGTCGCCATCAGGCAGGGTTTTGAAGTCGTCCAATAATGCGCAGGCAGCTATAGTCAATTCATAGAAATGGGGGTCCCATCTATGCCCAAATACAATATTGTCTCTGACGCTAGCGTTCATAACCCACGCTTGCTGGGCAACGTAGGCAATGCGGCCTTTGACAACTACTTCTCCGCCGACTTTATATAGGTCACCAAGTAGTGTCTGGAGGAGAGATGATTTTCCGGCTCCAACGCGGCCAACAATGCAACTCAGTTCACCCTTTCGGGCACTGAAGTTGAGGTTTTCAAGTTCATCTCCACTCTCATATTTGTTCCAAGTAAATGTTGCATCGCGTATAAGTACCGCCTCATCTCCTGGGTGGGTGACCGCCTCCTGGTAAAGAACAGCATTTTCTTGCAATTCTTCCGCTGTCAAATACGCTGTCAAACGTGTAACAGCAACAGAGGATTCAATGATGGAAGTAATGACCATTGGTAAGATAGCAAGTGGGAAGGTGAGCAAGTTGAAAAGAGTCAATGCTGGGAAGACAATTTCAGTGGTGAGAGGCTTGTCGGTGATCCAGACGTAGACAGCGAAAGTCGAGCATGACACCAGGAAGGGCGTCGAGGACCAAGTGAAGTTGGCAATGGCCTGAGTAGCACCGATCTTGCGTAACGTGTTTAGTTCAAGGTCATTTCGTACGTGGTTCAGCTTGCCCATGAAGGCAGTATTCCAGGCGTAGAGTTTAATGCTCTTCATATTGTTCAGGATTTCAGTCATCAGTCTGGTTCGTTGATCCTTGTTCTTCATTTGCTTGACCTGTAGCGTTTTCATAATATTGGCAATGAAACCGTTAAGTGGAATCATAAGTACCATAGCCGCAATTCCGGCCCACATACTCCACCCGATAAGATTGTAAAGAGATAGCATGCATAGGACTATCTGAAATGGAGCTGACCAAAGCTGCGTACCGAACTGAGCTAGGTCAGAGAGCCGCTGTTGATCTACAGCCATGTAGTTGACGATGTCACCGGTTGACTTGGTTGCACGGCCCTCGTTAGAGAGTTTCAAGGCTTTGGTATAAATCATGGCGGTCAATGAAGATTTAACGCGCATGCCTGTTTCAAAGGCTCTCTGGAAATACTGATGTAGACAGGTAGTCTGAACAACAGAAACGATGAACATAGCAAGCGAGATGGCAACTCCCCTGATTGCTGGTTGCGGGCTTTCTGTCCGATAGGAATCAACGAAGCTGATCAAGAGACGAAGGAGTTGTGGCTGAACGAATGCTAGGATATCACTCAAGCATTTGATCAGTGCGCCACGGAAATAAGGAGCACTGAATGCTCGGAACAGGGCCATCCATAGTGATGGCTTCTTCTTGTTCTTGAGCTCATCTTCCCATGCCGATTGTAGTACCTCACCCGTCACACGGGTAGTGTCTCGGTCTCGCAAGTTCCAAAGGTCATCCTGAGTGAGGAAGTTCTTATAGCCTTGTTTCATAAGCGGAGTCATCCATGAGAATGTAAGGACGGAGAAGATATCGGCGTATTCAAAGGGACATTCGTCATCATCACCCAAAGCATAGTAAACACTCTGTTTCTTCTTAACGAAATATTCGAGAACGAACTCCAAAAGAGCGATGCCCAAACCAACGTTGAAGGTGATGAAATACGGCAAGTGATCTTGATAGAATTTGCGTGACACCAGCGACTGAAGCTTGACGCCATGTGCAATGATGAAGAAGAGCCAGTAAAACAACACCACGCCGTTTGGCTGCCGACTTCGCCAGTGTTCGTGGTATTGGACCGCATATATACAGACGAGGGAGAGAAGGAGCAGGATGGTGGTCCAGAATCTAAAGTCACCGGCCCATATGCGAGGGAGATTTTCGATCTGCAGTGATGCCTGGAGTCCGACAACAACAACGAGGGCCCATATCAATGACTAAAGCCGTGTTAGCAGTAATTCAAGAGTCCATCATCTCGCCCAACGTACCAGTTTAGCATAAAAATGCCAGTTCCGCGGAATGTTTTCGGCGGTTCTATGCCTTAGGAGCAACCATAGAGCTCCAGCCGAGCCTACCAGTCCAAAGACAGCTACAAAGCAGATAAAGACGTCCAAGAAGCAGGGAGTAAGGCCGTATCTGATGGAGCTGATCGGTCCCCAACCCTCAGCGTCACCGCAGAAATGCCGGCTCTGAGCTAGGGGTCCGGCGGCGATGTCACCTATACCGCCAGAGGGTAGGGCGAGGACTGCCTGCTCCCCATCAATTCCCGCCATGGTTCCGGCCGTATGATGAATAGCAACCAGGGATGGAGTTCGCAGGTCTTATAAGAAGGAATCCAGGAAGTTGAGAAGAGCTGGTCGACTTAATATATTATTTAAATAATAAAAATAAGTGCAGAGCAAGCTAGTGATTATATAAGCCTGAAGCTTACAAATGCAGCTTTTTCCTCGGCCTTGCAAGCGGGGAGGAAGAAAAGAAACGGAAGAAAAAACAGCTTTTGGAACCTTGCAAAGCCGGTGGAGGAAGCACAGAAACTTCTGCTTGGCCTTGGTCAAAGGATGTGGAGGAGCTGACAGGCCGACTCTGTTAGGTTATCATTATACGAGGCTGTCTTAAGCTGGCCTTTTTGGTGGAGGGCGCCGGGGTTAGCGGGTTTAAGTCTCCTACGTAATATACTAACTATATACAGAGCCGCCGCCCATGCCCGACTTTTTTTTCTTTTTTATCCACCCGCGGGATAATCAACGAGGTGAGTCACTTTCTTGTATTTATTTGCCATGCAGACAGTATATGAATATACTGTTTATCAGTGACTGATGGAAGTTAATCTGATATAGAACCGAAGAGGTCTCTTTTTGAGATAGTTATAGAACCCGTGGGTTTCTGCAAACAACCGGTCAAAAATTCCCCCGCCAGCTTATATCAAATATTCATTCGACCAACGTAGAAGTTACAATGGCTGGCAGTATCTCGCAAGGTGAGGCGCTGCTAAAGCGTCCATTATACGGTGAGCTTGGAGGTCTATTCGACTGTGGTCAAATAACTAACATAACAGCTAACTGTTAAGTGTATTCTCTCCCTACCGAGCTGCTGGACTCTTTGACCACCAAGACGACAAACACCCACACAGCCTTGTCAACGGAGTCAAGCCAGTTTAGATACGGAGCAGGAGATAGCGAGGACAGTACCAGCTCTCCGGGCTCCAAGTCCTGTGCTCTCTGCCAGGTCGTACTTCAGGATGTTAGAGAACAACGCGATCATGTCAAGTCAGATCACCACCGGTACAATGTCAAGGCGAAGCTAAGAGGAACGGCTACACTTAACGAATCAGAGTTTAATAAGGCTATTGGAGATTTGGATGAATCTATTTCTGGCTCGGAATCTGAATCCGACGATGAGGAAGAGAGCGGGGAGCAGACACCCGATACCACCCTCACTGCTCTATTGAAAAGACAGGCAAAGATAAATCCATCAGCTTCGTTGGAGGATGCAGGTTCAAGTAAAAGGGGTCGTGGGGCCAAAGAGCCGTTGATATGGTTTACAAGTACTCTGCTCGACCCAAATACCTCGCTAGGGGTTTATCGAGCCCTGTTCACGAACGAGGAACAAACTGAGCCGAACTACTTGATCGACTCTCTAAAGGCCAAACAGAAGAAGCCCCATGTTATTCAATGGATAAAAGATGCCTCAGAGACAGCTTCGAATACGTCCACGGCCACAAATGATCCAAATCCCGAACATATCTTCCTCTGCATGATAGGTGGAGGTCATTTTGCGGCCATGATTGTAGCCCTTGCGCCCGAAGTTCAGAAACGATCTGGGATCGAGGAGAGACAGGCAAGAGTAATTGCCCATAAAACCTTCCACCGGTATACCACGAGACGAAAACAAGGAGGTGGCCAGGCTGCTCATGATGCAGCAGGAGGAGCTGCGCACTCCGCCGGTGCTACTTTGCGACGGTATAACGAGGCTGCCTTGGAAAGCGAAATCAGACAGCTATTAAAAAGCTGGAAGGACATGATTGATGATTCATCCCTGTTGTTTATTCGTGCTGCGGGATCGACTAACCGCAGAATATTATTTGGACCGTACGAAGGACAGGTTTTAAAGCATTCGGACCCCAGAATACGGGTGTTCCCATTTAGCACACGCCGAGCTACCCAGGCAGAGTTGATGAGAGCATTCACTGAACTCACTCGGGTCAAGGTTAGCCATATTGATGAGGCTGCTCTTGCAGCCGAAGAAGCAAAACGAGAGACAATCTCAAAATCTCCGAAACCTACCCCTCAACCCCAGAAACCAAAATTTTCCAAAGAAGACGAAGCCGCATCGCTACATACGTCTCAGATACAAGCGCTCATCCGTCGCTCAAAGGTCCCTGCACTTCTCTCGTATCTCTCCGGTAATTCGATACCACAGAATTTTCGCTTCTATCCGCCTAACTCATCGCAGAACTACCACTCATCAACACCCCTCCATCTTGCTGCAAGTTCCAATTCGCCAGCAATTGTCAGTGCACTGCTGATAAAGGCCAGAGTGGACCCAGCCCAGCTAAATGATGATGGGAAACCACCATTCGATCTTGCTGGGAATCGTGTAACACGGGACGCTTTTAGGGTTGCCCGACACGAGCTTGGAGAAGATACCTGGGATTGGGAAGCCGCCCACGTACCTTCTGCAATATCAAAGAGAGAAAGTGAGAGCCGAGAAGAAGCTGAGAGGAAGACTGCCCGGGAAGCCGAGGATAAGAGGCGAACAGAGGAGATTGAGCGTCTTAGAAAGGAGGAAACCCCTTCAATTGGAGGGAAGAACCGTGCTTCCCGCCAAACAATTGCCGCAATACAGCAGAAAACCGGCGCAGAGAAACGAGAAGAAGAGTCTAGAGGAATGACGCCTGAGATGAGAATGAAACTGGAACGCGAACGACGTGCAAGAGCAGCTGAAGAGAGATTTCGGAAAATGCAAAGTGGCTCATCGGCTTAAAGTTTTAGCTGCGCCATATGATTCCGTCTTTCGTCTATATATCAACCAAGCCGCACTTTCTTCCAGAGCTTGAGGCATTCTTGCATGTCTGTGGACACTTGAGCTTCTGAACGTGCCGCTATCTGAATTATGTATATTATAGATGAGGCATAACAGAAGCTAGCCTTATTCTCACGTAGGAATTCTATCTCTGAACGGTTCATGCCCGGAGATTGATGCCAGATGGTCCAGCGATCACATACTTGTGCAATTGCCTTTGCTTGGTTTAAATCGAGAACCATCAGATATAATACCGCCTTGGCCAGATCTGTTATCTTATACGTTTTAGGGACATAGTTGTTCTTCACCAGCCACCTCAAGCAAGCGTCCGTAATATCTTTGTTGTTTAATTTTGGGGATGTCAATGCTTCAACCCCGCGTTTCTCCTCATATTCGCGCATAATTCGGACCCCGTCAGCATGATCATCACGCATTGCCGACAATTTCGCCTGTTCTCTAGCACGACGAGCCGCCGCCGCTTGTGCTGGAGGCATTGTTTTCTCGACTTCTTTTGCTCGCATATCCTCAAGAAACCTGTTGTGAAATCTCAAGGGATCATTAAGCTGTGGCCGTGGAGATGCCCAGTGTGGTAACTCATCTTCTTGCATGATGCCCAGCAATTCCATAATTCCACAGGGAACTGCTTCTCTTCTCACTGCCTGTAAGATGTTTTGAGGCAATGCAAAACTCCAGGTTGCGGCTTTTTCATTGTGTCCTAGAGACGACGCCGTGTAGACGAACCACTGGTTAATCGCGTCCCCCATATGACCCATCTCTGTCGTTCTTCCCGTGAGCGAGTGATCCTGCTCAAAGTAGATCTTTTCGACGGTGTCGCTTTCAATGCGGAAACGTATGCTATCACTGAGTGCGTCAGTGCTATCGAGAGAGGCACGCTTTTCTTCGATATAAGCCAAAAGCAATGGCGCAGTAGTTATATCAGGTTGGCTGTCTTCTATGGGATTCGCAGTAGATCCACCTATAGACAGTAGCGGGCCATCTTTATCATCAACATTCTCATTTTCTCCCTTTAGGATAGAATCAGAACCAGGAGACGTCTCATCGTGAAACAGCTTAGGCTGATGAATTCGCATCCAAAAAGGTGGTAGGCAATGTTTATCTCGCTGATCCCAATCACACTGCCAATGGACCTTCAGGCTCAGGACGCCATCGGAATCATCAGGCACACTCGTCCTCAAAACGGCTCCAAACCGAGTCGGGGGCGGCCGTAACAAGACGGTTCCAGCCGGAGTCCATAGCCCGCTCGTCCTCAGCATATTCCAGCCATTTTCGTCAGGCACAGCTCCACGATCGAGCAGGAATCCGGTCAACTCATCGAATTCGATCTCAGCCTGAGGCACCAGTAACTCATCCTTATACTGGATTCGGTAGAGTTTTTTCCCAGTTACTAGACAATTCCAGTAAAAGTATGACCATGAACCTCCGGGAAGATGAGATCTGTCCGGGTTGAGTTTCCAATACTCCTCATCGTCTTCCCGGTCAAGGGGTGTTATGGTATAGCGCGGCAGCTCAACTTCGACAATGCCAGACATCATGCTGCCCCTTGTAACTGCAGAGTTGGAGTGGCCATTTTGCGCCAGGACCTTGCGGATCGAACGCAGGACAAGTAGAGCGCGAATACAGGTGTAGAGTATTGGGAGAACCCCGATCACGGCAAGGGGCACGCCGATGTAGGTTATTATATCTGCCGGGGATGCGTTCGACATGGTAATGACAAAATCCTGGGGTTGACGTTGAACATTGCGGTGCTCGAGAAAGGGAGGACCAGCTTAAAATTACTTTTACTCTTCGGAAGCTAACTATAAATAACCTTTGCTAGTATTAACTACCCTGGCTGCTCTCTGAAGCTGTCGCTGTGCGATTCATGTAAGTGTGCCCTCATCCTCTTAGTCAATTAACATTTCTTGATTCTACATGACTGGGGGAACTACATAATGGCATCACTCTCTCGGGCGGGCGGATGGCGGCAGAGCATCGATGGTCCGCGACTGTTTGCCGGTTGCCGCGCGTTAGTTAACACACTTATGTAATATAAAACGCTAGTCCGCAAAGGGTCAAAGACCTTACCTAAGCATCCACACTTATGAAAAGGAGTCCTCTTATTGGCTGTACTTATTTCTGCTTATTAAGTTGTGTCTTACCTAAGCTCTTCTTCTCTTCCCTTCACGCTGGGTAAATAAGTTGGAGGCGGGCAGATGGAGTAGAGTGGTTGAAGAGATGGGGAAGAGAATATGACCGGTGGTAGGAGAGATCGTATGAATACCCCTGCACTCTTGTCAACGCGTGCTATCTTAAACATCTCCGCTCCACGGACTCCTCCATGTATTGTCAATATCTGATCATCCGGGAAGAACCTTGCCGAGCCCAAAGGAGGCGGCTGAGTCGGAGCCCTGGCTGTCCGGTGTATCTACATACATAGCAGGCTGCTGGCATCTCTTCTGTCGCCTAGATGCCCCATTATATTCCTGGTTGTGTCCTCCTTTCGCCATCTCGCCATGGCCTGGTACTCGCTCACTGCCTACCTGCTGCTTGGTTTCGTGGCAGCCATTGCGCTCAACCTCATCTATCAGCTGCTTTTCCGCCTGCTGAATAGGACCAGGCCGCCGTTGGTCTTCCACTGGATCCCATTCCTGGGTAGTACTATCCGCTACGGACTCGATCCGTACAGGTTTTTCTTTTCCTGTCGCGAGAAGGTAAGCAGGCAGAGCAAGCGAGTGAGCAAGTAAAGCAATTATCCGCTCAGTGTTTTTGTCGTGAGATTGTTGTTAATAGGAATCTAGCACGGCGACATCTTCACGTTTGTTCTCTTGGGCCGTCAGACCACCGTCTACCTAGGTATAAAGGGCAACGAGTTCATTCTTAATGGCAAGCTGAAAGACGTGAATGCAGAGGAGGTGTACGCCCCCTTGACCACCCCGGTATTCGGTTCGGATGTGGTCTATGATTGTCCCAACTCTAAGCTCATGGAGCAGAAGAAGTTCATCAAGTACGGCCTCACTCAGGCGGCGCTCGAGTCCCATGTGCCGTTGATCGAGAAAGAGGTCCTGGACTATCTAGATACCTCTCCTAACTTCCACGGGCCGTCCGGAGAGGTAGACATTTCAGACGCCATGGCGGAGATCACCATCTTTACTGCCGGAAGTGCCCTGCAGGGAGAGGAGGTGCGATCCAAGCTCACCACCGAGTTTGCCATTCTCTACCACGATCTAGACAAGGGATTCAGTCCGATCAATTTCATGTTGCCATGGGCGCCCTTACCACATAACAAGAAGCGTGATCTCGCCCATGCCCGCATGCGCGCCATCTACACTGACATTATCGAGAAGAGGCGGCGCGCAGGAACCAATATTAACGCCTCGCAGAGGTCAGATATGATTCAGAATTTGATGCAGTGCACCTATAAGAACGGGCAGCCTGTGCCGGACAAGGAGATCGCACATATCATGATCACGCTGCTGATGGCTGGCCAGCACTCATCGTCTTCGATCAGCTCCTGGATCATGCTCCGCCTTGCCTCCCAGCCCGCAGTCGTCGAGGAGCTCTTCCAGGAGCAGCTGGCCAACCTACCGCGCATAGGCCCCGATGGTAGCCTGGCTCCCCTGCAATACAAAGATCTCGACCTTCTCCCGCTGCACCAAAACGTGATCAGGGAGACTCTCCGTCTTAACTCGTCTATCCACTCACTCATGCGCAAGGTCAAGAACCAGATGCCAGTCCCTGGCACTCCCTACGTGATTCCGACTTCCCACGTCTTACTCGCCTCGCCGGGCATCACAGCCCTTAGTGACGAGCATTTCTCTAACGCCAAGGCATGGGATCCTCATCGGTGGGAAACTCAGGAACCCAAAGAGGATGAGAAGGAGGACATGGTCGACTACGGGTACGGCGCCATGTCTAAGGGCTCCTCCAGCCCATATCTCCCCTTCGGCGCTGGCCGCCACCGCTGCATTGGAGAGAAGTTCGCATATGTCAACCTAACAGTCATCGTGGCCACCATGGTGCGCCACATGCGGTTATTCAACTTAGAAGGAAAGAGGGGTGTGCCTGAAACGGACTATTCCTCGTTGTTTTCAGGTCCCATGAAGCCCACGCGGATCCGCTGGGAGCGACGAGCTGCAATTTCTAAATAGCCTGATAGTCTCATATTGTGGGAATCAGCCCAATGCCCGCATGGCAACTCCACATCTAGATTTACCATGTGGCTATAGGAGTTAGTGCGGCCTGGAAATAAAAAAAAGAGGGCAACAGTTATACATGGTAGTTAATAATCATCTTCTCTTCTTCATTGACTAGTCAGATCTGGCAGAACTTCAAATGTAATAGACACTAAAAAGTGCCAATGATATATGTCAGGGGTCGGAAGTCTAAGTAGTTAACAGGTAAATCTTCTTCCACTCGCTCGATACGCGGATTAATATAAATATTGCGATAGCTCGTAATAATTACTATAAAGAATTTCCGCGTAGAGAATGGCGGTGATTGAGTGGTCCGTGGGTTGCTCGACTGGGAATATCTAGACTTCACTTCTTCAACGTCACTTCAATTTCTCTTCAACATCATCATCATCTCTGCTTGAAATAAAGACTAGGCGTTTATTGTACCCACAACCCCGTATAGCGTCAATTCCCCCTCTACCATGCCTAGTCGGCCGCCTCAAAATGACAATGGCGCGTTCCAGCCATGCTCACTGGACCATGTTGGCACTTTGTATGTCTATAGTGGGAACGCTAAAGCTAGTAGAGGTAAGTTGGTGATGGTACTCCGTAGTACTCTCCACATTGTGGTTATGATATTGGATGCACCGACGTGTACGGGTAGTGCTAATTGGAATACTCCACAGAGTGGAAGCTATTTGCCAATGAAGAGCTCATTGTAGGCCGCAACGCAAACTCGTGGTGGGCATTAACCTCACCCATAGCAAAGGCAGTCTTGATATCGGTTGTTGATTTTTATAGCCAATTGGTCATTGACGATCCCACGGTCTCCAACACACATCTCCGTATTTACACAATCATATTTGACCAGGAGAACCCTTCTCAGGTTGCACCTCTGGTATATGTTCAGGACCTATCCCTCAATGGAGCCTTTTGGAATGGCATCAAGATAGGGAAAGGGAATGCAGGTTTCCTATTAAGTGATGGAGATATGGTGGAAATCTCTAGCAACGTGATTCTAGAGTATAGTGGTGAAAGCGTGCTGCGGACCCCTTTCGATAAGGTTCAAATACAGGAAATGAAGTCCTTCGAAGATCAATATGTCATAACAAACCGCACCCTAGGCTGTGGGGCATACGGGCGAGTGCATATGTCCATTGACAAGAAGAAGAAAAGACAGTTGGCATGCAAAGTTGTCAACTTAGCAGACCTGAAAGCCAGGCTTCGACAAGTTGGACTTGAAGAGCCTCCCCAAGCGGCTGGTCTAGGGCTGCATAAGACGGCCAAACGACGCCTCACATATAAAGTACAGGCCAAGTTGAAGATGTATGATCGAGAGGTGGAAATTTTGCAAAAGCTACGGCATGTAAGTAATAATGACATTGACCACTAGCCTAGGGTCTCGGCTAACCTATTGGCTAGCCCAACATCATCAGCATTGAAAAGGTCTTCAAGACACACAATACCATGTAAGTTTCGTTCTACTGAATATCCTAGAATGAAATACTGAAAAGGGAGCAGATATATATTCCAAGACCTTGTCACGGCAGGGGACTTGTTCTCCTTCCTAGAATTCAAGAATGGAAAGCTCTTAGACGTGGAAGCAGCTGTAATAATCCGACAGGTTGTGATTGCACTAGCGTATCTACACAATCAAAATGTTGTCCACAGAGATCTAAAGCCGGACAATGTTCTAATGACATCTTTGTCAAACGGGTCTCGGGTGATTCTAACAGACTTCGGGTGCGCACGGTACCTGAATCCCAAAAAGTCACGCATGGCATCCGTAATGGGAACTTTGGAATATACTGCTCCGTAAGAGTCTATGACACATAAAAGCCACATACTCTCTCTTTGCTGATATGTTGTACTAGGGAAATGGGTCAAGGGTGCCACAGGCTAGCCAAAGGGTACACTAAGTCTGTTGACTTGTGGTCATTGGGCTGCCTCACCGTCGTACTTCTCACAGGTGGCTCGCCGTTTAGTGATCCCGCGACTGGGAAGTATTGTGGAACGCTGGCAAAGCAATGCAACCTTGATACGCTGGAGCAGGATAATGACTGGCAAGTTGTGGGTGAACGTGCAAAGCAGTTCGTTCGTGGCCTTCTGGTTCTTAATTATGAGCAGCGAATGACAGCAGATGAAGCACTAAAGCATGACTGGTTCACAAACATTGCGCATAGCCAAGCCTTTGAAGACCTCTACATGCGCGCAATACAAGGATGGGAACCACGAGATGAAAAATCGAAGATATTGTACGATATGCGCTATATGCAAGGGTCAATGGGTGAGTACAGTTTCTGGCAAGGCAAAACTTCAATGCAGCTCCCTTCAGGTAGCCCTAGACAAGAGTTGGACAGCTTGACCTCTCAGGAGGAGATTGAAAAGTCGTCGTATTTCTCTATGTCACGGTGGAATCCGGAGGCGAAGCTTCGGAGAAGTGTATCAATCACGCTCTCAGACCCCGGAAACAAAGAGGCCCTTAGGGTACTGAATAATAGCACAGATGCTTCCCCTCCTCGTTCTCCACAAGGGTCAACTGCCCAGGAGTGGGATGGTATAGTGGGTCAAAAAACGGACAAAGTCCGCTTCGAAGCGACCAGCCATGACGACGTAGCTGACCACCAGGCCAAGTCATGTATCAGAAACCCGTTTAGCCCAGAGGCATGGCATAAGAGCGACCACGAACCAGTCCAACGGCCGAAAGGAACACGATCCAAAAAGTGTATGGATAACACGGAGCATGAGCAACCAGAAGCAGTAGCCAAGAGCGAATGGGGCCTCAAGACGGTAGAAAAGGTCACAGTCCCTTCATCGGCAACGAAGCATGGACCGGCGGATATTCTCAATCCCGTAAGAGCAGATGCCCTACACATGCCTATCATGAGTAATCTCAAGAGCCCACGCTCCTGGCCACATCATGATACCGAGAGCGATATATTCATATTCCAAGAAGACGAAGTGTATGAGGAGGTACTTGACCCTGTCACTGGGAAGCACCGTCCAGTCAGATATGGTGAGCGGTAGATCTGCCGTGCGGGGACGATGCGTTGGGCTTCTCGATCAACGCTGTCTTCTATTTCATATCGTTGAATGGAAACGCCAGAGCAACAGTTACTGTGTATAGATCGTGCTCTGCACTGTAACTGCCGCCCATTTTTCTTTCCTTTGTCCTTCTCATTCTTATTACTGCTGTCCTCCTCTCAATATTATGTTATTCCATGTTCTGTTTGCACGACGAGACGACAACTCACCGTGTGGGTCTACTTAACTTCTTATTGGCTTAAATAAAGTTTGCTGCTGCAGGTACGCGAAACGCGAAAAAGCGCAACAAACGCGTTGGCGCGCGCGGCGCGTCTGAAATCGGCTTTTTTCTGTGTGGCAAAAGATATGAGAAAAAGCGAAAAAAAGGAGTATTTGAAATACAGAGAAAAGTCAACGTGTCTGGCGCTGGCGGATCCGATAAACTGAGACAAGCGAAAGTCAAGGGCGGCCACATTCTGAGCAAGCATATAACGATTTTTGTTCTCCTCAGCTGGCTACTCCGTGCTCTCGACTTTGTTAGAGTCGAGAGATGAATGATAATAGCTGGCGTGAGAGTGTGCTATTATGGAGTATGTACACACCAAGTCCCGTCGTCATGGTGATGGTCAAGTCAGGCGATGGAATTATACGATGGGACGGACCGCAGCCCTTGAAACCTTCAGTACCATGGCAACTCTATTCTTCAACCCGTCGAAGCCGAGTCGCGGACCGTGGGCGTTTTCATAAGATCGTCTCAACTAATTCACAAGGATAGGTGATCGGCTGGCCAATGAATGGGAGTAGGTGTGCGCAGTCGGTGATACATAGTACAGCGATGCCGTTTATTCTCAGGGTCTTGGTGGTACAAAGGGCAGCATCGAGTACTATGGCCAACGAGTAGAGCAAATAGACGGTCCGACTTGCTGGTATTACGACTAACTTGTCAGGAAAGATTTTCCCTGGTACAAGATAGGCGTGTAAGGCGCTCACGGCGACTCGCAGTGGAAGTCTCTGTCAGTGACTCGATTCCGGCCGGAAGGGCCGTCAAGCGGCACTGCGAATCGCCCAGGGCATAATTTATGGAGTAGATGATCCTGCAGCAGGGGAAAGAGAGTCAGCGTATGTACGGAGTACGGAGCGAGCAAGCTGTTGCCATTCCTACGGAGTATCGTGAAAGAACCGGGCAACAAACAAACAAAGCCTGAGTGTTAGATATTCAACAGGCTGACGACCAAGCTTTCCCCTTCCTTTTCTCGCCTGGGGATCCCTGATGATGCATCTTCCTTTTTCTCCCGATTTATCCATCCAGCAGATTCTTAACACCACTCTCGGGCCTCACTCCGGCCTTTTCGTCACAGACAGCAGGCGACAAGTTAGCTTTCCCCCCTTTCTGACGGAGCATTCTTTCAGAGGATGGGCCACCCTTTAATTAGCAGAGTGCTCCATACCTACATGTAGTATATCTGCTACCCACCACGGCTATTATTATTAATGGCTGCAACTTACCATCCTCATGGAGGTTGCTCCCTGCAGCGCCAAACTAGCCGTGGACACGCCAAGCCGCTTGTGCCGCTAGCCTGTCAGAGCCCGTTTTTTGTCTTTCTGTCCTCCCAATCGTGCGATTTATTTTGATTTTTCCTCCCAACCTCCTCCCCCCAGGTTCCCAACTCCTTGCAATCAACCAGTCCAAACCCACCGCATCGCCGTTTCTACCACCACTTACTGTCGCAAAGACCGCTACATCATAGCGCCTGAAGCGCATCGCTCTGCAGTATCTCTTCCAGCTTACCGCACCCGCGTACCACCCCTTGTTCTCGAAAAAAAAAGGAAAAAAATCACCTGGCGCATAACTCGCAGCGCAAACCAGGCAACGGCTGACACATCGCAAACAATATTCTGGTTTAATACCGCCTTCCTTCTATTGCGCGCCGTTCTGGTAGATCTCCAGACCATAGTACAAACTTCCGCTTCTGCATCCGTAGTGTACGGAGACCTTCGACAGTATGCTGCTCCCTTCGGCGCTGTCATGCGAGTCACGACAGCAACAATTTCCATCCCGGCCACGCTTCGCAAACTCCCACTTCTTTCCATCAACTCCTCCGCCTTCTGACGACGGCATAATCTCAGGAAATGGTTTGCTGGGGACATGTCGAGCGCTTCAGTCGCTGTTGAATGCATCCCCCGCTGCGTCGCCTAGTCGTGGACGCACTCGAGTTCCCAAGCCAGAGAGCCTCCAAAGCCCTCTACAAGTGAAACCGACACCATACATTCAACATCGAACAACCTCTTCTTCATCCACGTCTTCTACAGCACCTTCAACTTCAGCGCGCACTGTCAAGAAAGTCGTCAAACCAACCGCAAAATATCCGCGCGGCGCCAACAAGAGGCGGAGAGAAACCTACGAGGATCCCATGGATTTCCAGCCCAACAGTAGAAACAAGGAGCATGAAGACAAGTTTTCAACACCAAAGAGGCTGAGGCGCGCACCACCAGAGCTCCCGCTCGGACTAGCGACTAGAGACTTCCTATCACTCGACACTCCGTCTAGATCGCAACAATCACCCATACAGTCCCCATACAATCGACGGCCGTGGAACCTACGGAGTGATGAGAGAAAGACAGTACCCACCACCGCTAGTATATCTCCGGAATCCCTGCCCTCCGCGCCATGTGCTGCTACACACAACTCTTTAAATAACGCCATAGACTCTTCAATATTCTCTTCACCTCCTCACCCGACGACAGAGTGGACCAGTGACGACGATGGAAGGCTGGTCGAGCTCGTGCTAGAGAAGCTAAAGCTGTCCAAACGTGACTGGAATGACTGCGCAAGACGGATGGGGAAGAATCACGACTCTGTCGGGAAACGATGGAAAGCCCTTGTCGGAGAAGGGAATGTTGGCCTCAGAAGGGGCCGACGCATGGTCAGGGGCCGGATCGATGAAAGCTGGAGGCCATGATAGCTTCTGCTTTGTTATTTTCCCACGTTGCCTTTTTATTTTTTCTTCTTCTCTTTAATATTTTCTTTCTTCTACTTTGTCGTCTCTCCTCTTTGCTTGATGTTGGCATCCTATATTTGTTTCATGTACTTATTCCCTGTTACGAAGGAAGAATGCCGCAGGGGAATGGGCGAGAGGAACAGACAATATGCCCGGAGTGGCAGAAGGCCCGGAGCTTGCTGGATGTTTGGTTTTCTTTTGTTTTGTACTTGACTCTATTCTTCTGATGAAATGATGACTTCCCTACTGTTCTACGAGAGAAACCTCGATTATCACCAATGAAATGAATCTATTTCTACATATGCTGTGACTTTCATATCCCTCCTGCTGCTTGGGTTGGAACATCTCCTCCATACCAGCCCGTCTTTTTCTTCACTTTCCGTGCTAGAATGACTCCAAAACAAACGCAAGTCCGCGAAGGGTGTATAATTCATTCATATGGAGATATCCAAACGCACCCATAGTCTTACTCCGTTTGTCAGGCCAGCATCTTCACCCGCATCACTGAGGTGGAGACATTTTCGCTCCCTTGAGGCCGTCACTCCGGCCATCCTTGTCTATACAATACCCATCCTTTGCCATCTTCTATCCAGATTCTCTTCCCTGCTTGGGGGCGTCCATGCCCTATTGTATATTGATATCTTACTCATGTATATTAATATATATATATATATATTCCCCTTGAAGCCCTACGTCAGCCTCTCATACAAAGCCCAGATATCAATTAAGAAAGGAACTTTGATACGTTGCCTCCGCAGCCCACGTCCCCGGATGGCTGGATACCTTCATCCCCAGTCCACAGAGCAGCTAGATGACTTGCTGAGTAAAGGAGATGTCAAACAACTCCTTGAAGACTGGTAAAGGAATATCGTTTGAAGGAAAAGGCTACCACAAAGAGCTGCCGACAGAATCATCGAAACGAACATGCCCGCCTAATCAACCCTACGAAGCCGCAGCTATCGTACTGTGGTTTATATGACATTGTGCAAGCTCACTTACCCCGACGCATGTGTTTGGCAGTGGAGATATACTCGAGCTGCGATTCTCACCGGGAAGCACATCTGGCACAATAATCGTACACGACGTCTTCCGACGTAACTACAGACAATAAGAAATTACAAGCAACTAGGATGATATCCCGACCTACCCATCATCAAAACAAGTCGGGACATTAGAGGGCACCTATGATGTGAAGCTGATTGGTATCTCGCCCATTCAACCACACATTTTCTCCATACTCCCGACCACCGAGATTAGGCAGTATATAGACCAGAGTCGACAGCTTGAGAAACGCCCTGGTTTGCGGTTTATAAAGGCATGAGGTTGTTGCTGTATCTACTGAGTACGCAGATCAATGTCAAAACGGCCTCTGGGAACAAGATTGAATCGCCTATTAGACTGGGCTTTGACAAAGAGCCACGCTCCGCATCTATCATCAGGCCATGGAGGAGCTACAATGTTTTCTTCAGCTGCCGGTGATGAGAACATTCCCCATGAACAGCTTATTAGAAGGGATCCGGGATTTGCCGCTGGAGATTAAGCATTCCATCTAGACAAGATTCTATAGACGTCTATATCTATTCCATCCTATTTATTGAGAGACAAAAAAACAAAAACAGGAACCACAGGTATATAACAACAGTGCTATAGGGAAGGGGTATAGTAGCACTTACACTAATATATACTATAAGCTTTTCACCCTTATATCGAGATATGTAAGGGGGGGAAATTAAACTGATATCAAAAGAAAGTAAGACAGCCGACCGGAAAAAGGCGAGATATTAGCAGCGTCCGTATACTTTGCAGTAGCAGGTATCCTCCTCCGGGCAGCTAGAGTGGAGGGCATAGGTTAGTAATATGTATCGGGTAGCACACGTCGGGGGTTTAGAACATACTATACAGCATTCTTGCCAAAGATTATATGCCAGAGATACTCGAATACACGACCGCTGGTAGCATCATTGAGTGAGGTATCAAACAGCCACTGCCTGAAATGCACGTAATCCTCTAACGGCCGCAACCGGACCTGTTCCCTCGATACAGCAAACTGCGCACAGCATGCAACCATTACTATTTCCGGCACCGGTACGACTGAGCGAATAACACCCTTGTCGTCGCCCTCGGTGGTAGTGGCGGTACGTTTCCCCTGCGTCGTTCCGTTGAAGAGCTGGTCCCACACTTCGGGCGTTATGAGTGGGTGTCGGCCGGGCGATGCGCAACCCAAGTTCCGCATACATCGTAGGTTAACGTAGCCGTTCTCTCTGATATAGTTTGTTTGCAAAGATTGCATCGCCATAGCGTTATCGTGCAGCGGGGCGTCGACGTGCCATGCCTTGACGAAGCCGTTACGGTGAGAGTGTAGGAAGGCGACGATAGACGGGAGAGAGTGGTAGTGTTCTATGACATACGTGAGGTATGCCATAGCTTCATGGCCTTTGTTCGTTGGTGTGGAGAGATGGTTTGGGTCTTTGAGGGTCTCCGGCGATGGATTAACAGTGTAGATTGCCCGTTGCCAGCTGCAGATATTATACTTTAGTTAATCGATATGTTATCTGGAGACATGACTGGGGGATGAGGGTCTCATACTCAGGGAGGTATTCCTGGACCCAACGGGTGTCTTCCTCCTCCAGAGCGGCCATGACAATGACCTTGTCGCCAACGGCTACGGCATTCGTCGGTCTGATAGGCTGCTTGGTCGAGTCAAAGGAGTCTTTGAGATAGCCTCGGACATTATACTGGTCTGCAATTGCTCTGAGTTCACCACCAAGGAAGTACCAGACGCAGGCTAGCATGGAGGCTGTGACGACTATAAGATGACGAAGCCGACATTTCGTCATTGTGGGCAGATTCCAAGAAGGAAGAAAAGGAAGAAGAAGAAGATAAAATCAGAAACAGAAACAAGAGGAAAGAAATAAAAAAATAACAGACGGGAAAAGCTGACGAGGCTAGGGGGGGAGGCGTATGAATAAGGTCACCACAGCTCAGTCAACGTCATCGTGCCGGTCAAGCAGAAGACATAACGATAGATGCAAGGCAAAGGACAAAGAGAGACATCTGCTGCGGCCATGAGGAACAACTGGACAGGTGTAAGTCCATAGACAGTATTATTAGGTGTTGGGTTGGTGAAAAAGAGGGCCCCTTCCATCGGCTCTGCCTCCCTCTCTCCACAGCGGCGAACGGTCGTGATATAGAACTAGGAATAAACATTAGTCTTTTAGTCAAAAAAGGGGGCCGGAGTAATAATATATTAAGAGATAATTAGTGGCTGAGGGATGGGTTTTACCCTCCACAGTGCTCCATCGAATGGAGTCGCAAGGGCCTCGCTGGCGTACCGTCTTTGCTTCTTCGCTTCTCCCCCTGACTCCTCCCCTGTCTGACCTTTCGCCATGTGAGGGAGACTGCTGTCTCTGTTGGGCCAGAGTATGAAACGATGGCTATAACCTGGCTGTCCTATGTATATTATATCGTCCAGATAATAATAATAATAACGTCTTGGAAACTCGAGAGATGAAGAGAAAACAAGCAACTTTCTAAGATGAGGAGCCGAACCTTAACTAAATCTTTCTTGCATATAAGAATAAAACTTAGATATCAAAAACCGTCTTTCTACATAGTAGATCAAATATAACGATAATACGAGTCTCGCCCAATGACGCTCCATGAGTTCACTTTTATTCTCCGGTAGATGAGCCACCAATATGTCAATCTTAAACAACATGGGTTAGCATTCAGGGCATCCGCAAGGGCTTTTATTCTTCCGGCTGAGTCTCTCCTTTCCGCTGTTCTGCTTCATCGGGGTATCAGAATAGCTCTCGTGCTCTTCATGCTCTTCTATATACTTCGGCATCCGCGTCTTCCTCCGCACTGCCGGAACGGTCGGCTTCATGGTTGGACTAAATTTCAACCCACTCGCCGGGCCGTACGCCAAATATGCCTATCATACGCTAATTAGAGGAGAAACGGAGAATCTCTTGCCTGCGGGGAAAGGGAAACGTTCGCAGCTTCTAGTATTCTAGGTCCGTCGACAACTGTCATATAAGCCGGCCGCTTCTGTTGTATGTAGAAGATGGGTCGGACGCTGTTCCTCACCGTGCAGGGTTCTGCTTATCGCACCATGGCATGTTGAGTACATAGTAGTTAGTAGATGCATAGCCGTGCTAGAAGGGTATAAGACTTACCTATTTCACAAGGCTTGTTGGCTGTGTTCTCCAACTGTCTCTTCCCCTGGCTCGGAAGCCGACATCACATATATGGCAACATATGGCAAGATGTGGCTAGAGATGGCGATAGATGGCAGAGATGGCAGAGATGGCAATAAATATATAGATAGCGTAGGTATCAATGAATTATAATAGATGGCAGAGATAGTAAAAGATGGTGATAAATAATTATAGATATAGATAAAAAGATGGTAGAGATGGTAGAGATGTTAAGATATATCAAGAGATAGTAATAGACAATGATAGATAGCAGAGATGACAGAGATAGTAATAGATACAGAGATGGTAGAGATGGCAGAGATGGTAATATATGAGAGAGATGGTAGGGATAGTAATAGATACAGAGATGGCAGAGATAGGAGATATATTAAGAGATGGGGATAGATGGTAATAAATAGGAGAGATATCAAGAGATAGTAATATATGAGAGAGATGGTATAGATGGCAGAGATGATAGAGATAGTAATAAATGGTATAGATGTATAGATATATAGATGTATAGATGTATAGATGGCGGAGATATTGGTATATGGCAAGAGATGGCAAGAAATGGCTGAAGATGAAGGGAGAAAAAAAGGGAAAGAGAAAGAGAGCAGAAAGAGAAGGAGGAAAGGACGGGGTTTATATAGACGATATCCTGCTATTACGTCAAGTGAGTCGAGAGAGATCCATGTATGGATTTTTGGCCTGAGCCACGGTTGAGATGCACAGAACATATGGATAGAACCTCAGATCAAGTCAAACATGTCATTCAGATAGAGTCATAGTAATATCAGATTGAGTCATAGAGCTATATACACTCGAGTGACTGTTCCCTGTTTCGCCGGAAGGCTCCTCTCTCGGTCGTTCCTTTGTCTTATGTTTGGGCATCATGGTAGAGGACAGAAAAAAATAAGAAGGCCTAGTCATTGTCATCACCATCGCCGTCGTCATCCTCGCCGACGTCTTCCCCGGCTTCGATGGCCTGTTCTCTCCTCTTCCTCGCGCGCTCCCTCTTCCTGTCGAGCAACCTGGACAGCTTCTTCGCCACGTTAAAGACTCCGCCCGTCGAGGCGCCGCAGGCCGCACAGTTGGGGTTCTTCCGGTACCTCTTCAGCGCACACGCCTCGCAGAAGTAGTGGCCGCACTTGGTCACTATCGGGCTGCTGTATGGGTTCTTGCATATGACGCATGCAAAGGGAATGCTCTCCAGAAACTCGTCGTCTTCCTCGTCCTCGTCCTCCTCGCCCTCGCCGCCTTTCCGAGACGCCACCGTCCGGCCAGCGAGTTTCTTCCCCTTGGTCTGGATCTCCCAGTCTCGATCCAGCTCCCATCCGGCCTTGTAGTCCTCGCGAGCATGGAGATACTTGCACGAGTCACCAAAACCGCAGACTACTCTTTAGTTAGCATGGAAGCAAGATAAAAATAAAAGATAGACACTTACATCCTGTCTGTTTGTAGTCCTTGCAGACGTCTGGAGCAAAGTCTGTGACTGTGATGGTGCGTATATTGGTGGCAGCCTTCAAGGGCCCGACTTGCTTTGTGGGTGCGTTGGGATTCTTCTGGATGAAGCTCTGGTAGTTTGACGTGCCGTGGTAGGTCCCGTCTCCGGCAGCACCCTCAGGCTGTGTTCGTGAGCGTGTGTTTCCTAGCAGGTTCTTCTCGCTCAGCTCCTCGTCGTACCAGTTCGACTGCTTGGTTGCGTCGTTGGTGGCAGGCAGAGCAGGCCGCCTTTCACCGGTCTCCGGCTTCTCTTCATTTCCCCCTCGCCCACCGGCATCAGCAGCCGTCCTGGACGAGGCACTCACTCCGGCATTCTTCCGCCTGCGTTTTATCCTGTGGCCCTCGTCGTCGCTGGACGTGAAGTCTTCTGTAGAGTCGGACGCTGGAGGTGTTGCCACCTTCTTGCGCAGGCTGGACTTGGCTTTGGCAGACCGTTTCTTGAACGAGACGGGGGCTATCTGCTTGTCTTCGAGCTCCATCCCGTCTGCTGTCTGTTGTTTGATGTCTGCTGTTTGATGTCTGCTGTTTGATGTCTGCTGTTTGATGTCTGCTGTTTGATGTCTGCTGTTTGATGTCTGCTGTTTGATGTCTGGTATGGCTGCCCCTCTTCCTTCAACCCGACGGCCAGGTAATGCTGTAACTCGAGAGCCACAAGCAGTCAGTAATGTAGTCTACCAGGAATACAGACGATAATATCACCATCGACAAGCGCTCATAAAGTCTTCCATCGTCAAGATCAACTTCTTAGTCAGCATCGACAAAAACTTCGCGCTTTTTTTCTTCGCTTTTTCAACTTCTTCTTCTTCAAGCCTGCGAACTTCTTCACGGCCGGTTTGAAAGCAGCGCGAGACTCAGTCACTCATTTGTCAATCACTTCTTCTTTTCCCTTGTTTTCTTTTGTTTTATCTTTTGTCTTCCCCCTGGATCTGTTTCCTTCCTGCGTCCGGATACGCGTACCAGCGAAAGAGAAGGGGAAAAAACAACAACAACAACCCACGTCACACACCTTGGCTTCCTCCCAGCCTCACCCGCCTCTGCATTCAAATATCGAAGCCGACCAGACTCGTTCTTCTTCTCTATCCCCTTGCCTGTCTGCTCTATCTGTCGCTGGATCGCATGTCTGCTCGTCTCCGGCAGTGAAACAACAGGGTGGTTCTGCCGTGAACCATTGCGCATAGCGGATTGAGGCTCCAGGGGGCTATAATGAGGTCGCACGCCTAAATTCTCTGTAGAAAATACCGAGAATTCCAGGGAGAAGAGAGGCGGACGATAGGGGAAAAAAGAACGACGGCGACGGCAAACCCCTTATTTTGAGTCCTCCCCTAAGTCACTAATCGTTATAACCATGGACGACCCTTTCGTGGCTACCCCTCTGGCCGCAGCCCAATCCCAGCGAGAACCGCACCGTTACTCGTCCTTTGACAACCAGCTGCTGACCTTGAACTCGTCCTCGCCGACACAGCTGAAACGAGCACTGGAAATCCATCTTGCTGAAACCGATCGAAGGCTAGAGGAGACGTCCAGGCTTGGCACCGCTCTGGTCCGCCAGCAGCAGGAACTCGCCGACAAGCTGAAAGAGGTCGAGCAGCAACAGGAGGACGGGGAGATTGGACCCGAGTTACGTCAAAGGCTACTCGCCCTGGAGAAGGATTACAATGAGATCGGACGGGAGTCGGCGAGGACCACCTTCGCTGCCAAGCCAAGGCTTCTCGCACCTGAAGATACCCCCTTGGACAGTCGAGTAAGTTACGCCTCCTGCGATGTCTGTCTGTGTACTTCTACTAACGCAGGGGTAGACGTCGAGTCCGGCCTTTCTGTCAAGCCAGGCGACCAATTCTCCGTCAAAGGTTAGCGTTCCGTCGAGGAGACAACGCAACCAGCCTGCCAGCCGCATACACGACATTGAATTCGCTACCGAGATCAGCACCTCGCTTCTCACCCAGGTCCGCCAGCTTCAGGCCCTGCTGGCCGAGCGTGACGAGGCCCTCCGCGAAACAAACTTGGAAAAGTCTAGGCTAGAACTCGAAGCCGAGGGGTTCGCCCAGCGCATCAGATCCCTCGACGAGAGCGAGCAACGGTACAAGGATGAGAACTGGAGACTTGAAACGCAGTCCCATGAGCTTATGGCGGCTGCCAAGGAGGCTGCCGCACGCGAAAATCGGTTGACCGCCAACCTGAATGCCCTGACCTCCAAGAAGAACAGTGTCCAGCGGGAGCTCGACGAACTCAAGCAGGCCAACGGGAAACTTCTCGAAGAACACTCGGCCGCCCAAAAGGCTCACGACTCTGAACTTCACATCCTGCGACGCAACCTCAACACCGGTGATGCCGAGCGCAACAACCTTCGCAAGAAGGTCGACGAACTCGTCAGCCAAAACCAAGAACTCGCAAAGGCAGTCGCCGCCAAACTCAGGCAACATGAATCTGAACCCGCTAGAAATGTTGAATCGGAAGCCAGCAACAAGGACGAAGATGAAGATACCCCGGACAGCTCGCCTCCCCCGTCGCCCAACAAGGTGACGCCTCGTCACGGCCACCTGGAGTCTGAAACGCTAAAGAGCTCTCTCCACCATGCCCACCGAATGATTCAGAACCTGAAGAGTAACATTCATCGTGAAAAGTCAGAAAAGATCGAACTCAAGCGCATGTTACAAGAGGCGCGAGATGACCTGGAGGCCCGCAGAAATGAAATAGCAGCCGCCCAAGGCAGCGCGCAGAAGCGTCAGAGGACAAAGGCTGAGATATTCAAGAAGCCGCCACGCCCAGATATGCTCGGGGCCGGTAGGAAAGGCATTACCGAGATTGAACTTGACGAGCCTGACTGGGAAGATGAAGAAGTCATGGAAGCCAGCCCGACCAAGACCGTTCGACCAAGGCAGGCCTCAGTCGTCTACACCCGTCCTCGTCCCCGTCCTCGCTCCGGTTACATCAGCACAAGCGACGCGTACCAGACTGCAAACGAAACCGAAGACGGTGGCTTTGAGACCGCGCAGGAAGCCGAGACCGCGACCGAGAGTGAAGATTTCCAAACTGGTGCTGAAAGCGTTGCGGCAGACAGCAGCGACGAACTCACAGAGACGGAAGACCGCGCAGTTGGACAGGGAACACACGCGCTGCCGTATAAGCTCCGTAACGCAAAGGCTGGTGACCGCACCTCGTTCATGAGTACTGCGTCCACCTCGGCTGACGAGGATGATTACCCTTACCACGAAGTGCATACTCCTGTGCAATCCCAGCCTCCTCGTTATCGTCTAAAGATGCAGCGGGGCCGACACGCAAGGCCGTCTGAGGAGACGATCCATGCGGGCAGAAGCATGGGCTACGATGTCCCATCCCCCGGGAGCCTGCATAGTCCCAAGCAGCCTAGAGTTGAGGGCGGTCGAAGTCTCTTTGCAGAGCTCGGTGAGGCCGGCATGGGGAGTGACGGCGAATTCGGGAGCCCGCTGCAGTCCAACAATCCTGTCTCAGTGGACTCTACCCCTATCCGCAGTCTCAGTTTCATGCAGCAGAAACAGGTTGAGCAGCCGCCACGCATAGCCGTGGTTGACTCGTCCACGATGACCGAACCATGGCCTGCTCCCACTCCCGCAAGTGAAACTGTAGCAACGCAGACTCTGGCTCCCCAAACTGCAGATGCCACAACTTCCACAACCTCCGCAGCCCTTGTAGACATCGCAACTCAGTATACTGTCAATGAGCGTCCTCTTATCACTCAAACTGGAGCCATAGTTGTTTTCGATACTCTGCCGGCAGAGCCTGCTAAATCCGTAGATACGGCGACCCAATACACTCCCGTCCTGTCTCAGCCTATGGCTCAAAGTGGCCCAATAGTCGTGCTTGATACGCCGCCGGCAGAACCTACAAAATCTATGCTGGTAGACATGGCAACTCAATGTACTCCTTCAAAGCCTCAGCCCATGGTTCAAAGCGCAACGATGGTCATGTTCGATTCCCCTCCAGTCGTTGCACCCGTCGAAGAGGACAAGTCCCGCGATATTATTGCGCCAATCCCAATTCCTGTCCCCTTTCCTTCAACTTCTACTCCAGAACCAAGCGCGGAACCCACCAAACTGGAACTCTCGCCAATGCTGTTTGAAGAAACTGTCCCGATTCCAGCACCCGTTGTTGAACAACCGCGACGAAGCTCAATGCATCTCGCCATTTCTGACGTTACATTTGAACAATCCCGTCCTGCCACACCTCAACCGGCGCCGGCTGTCCTTCCAGTCGCTCCTTTTACTCCCCCAAAATACATGGCATCCTCAATTCAAACTATCGACACACCGCCGATATCGCCTCCCACACAGACCGTAATTGTAAAGCCGTCCGTCCAACTGGAAATGTCATCGATTTATACTGAGTTCACTGCGCCTGCTGCTCCCGTTCTCCGTGAGCCTCCCGTGGCTGCACTGGTCACGGACAGAGATGTTCATTCAACTGGAACGTCTCCAAGGAGGCCGAGAACTGCCGTCCATGATAGGGATAGCGACGCTCCTTCGTCTCTAGAATCGTCACGCGAAATAATGCCACCTATGTTCAATGCAGAGACTAGAAATATCGTGAAGCCTGAACAGCCAAAACCACCATTCGTACCCGCCCGGGTTGCAGAGAATGGGGCCCAGACTATCTTAACAAGCAAACAGATCGATTCTCTCCTCCTAGAGAAGCGTGTTCTAGCACCACCAAAAACGCCAGAGTCTAGGGTTGCAATTACCCCCTTGCCTAGCTCGCCGGAAGAATCTACATTGGCAACCCCCAGGGCTAAGACACAGCCATCTACGATTAATGACAATTTTCTGCTCCCCAATGCTGCCACCAGACGGCCAGGGAGTGCGGGAAGCAGGCGCAGTGCTATGGCACATCCTCCCCTACCGGCAGACCATAAGCAAGCAATTGCTGCCGCTACCCAAAGGATATCAACTGAGAGTCCAACCCGTGCTATGGGACCCCCAGCCGCCCCTGCTTCCGCCTATCGACCGGGTGTCCCGTCTCGACCACGGACTCCCAATGAGCAGGCCAGTGGAACTGCCACTGTTCAGGGAAGTAATGGATCGAAGACCCGGCACAGACATGGTAGCGTCGCGTCCAGACGATCTTCAATATCATCTTTTGTATCCGAACTTGACGATCGGTTCAATTTATCAAGATCGGAATATGGCTTCGAGCCTGGCACAGATCCACGCATGATTCAGGCCATTACACAGACAATGATTGGCGAGTACCTATGGAAATATACTCGCAAACCAGGCAGACCAGAATTTTCCCAAACGCGACATAGGCGGTACTTCTGGGTCCATCCGTTCACCAGAACCTTGTACTGGAGCACTCAGAGCCCACAGACTGCCAGCAAAGCCCAGTTGATGGCCAAGAGTGTAGCTATTGAAGCTGTCCGAGTGGTCACTGATGATAACCCATACCCTCCTGGCCTCCATCGCAAGAGTTTGGAGGTTGTGACTCCTGGAAGGACCATGAGGTTCACCGCCGCCACCAGCCAACGACACGAAACCTGGTTCAATGCACTTTCATATCTCCTTTTACGTGCCAACGAAGAGGATGGCGAATTAGCACTTCACAGTACACCAGAGGACGGTCCGGTTGACTTTAACCCTTCCTTAAATGGCAGATCATCCCGCATGACGGACCACTCCCGACGATCTGCAGTATCCCACAACAGCCGAGTTACCCGGGGCATGGCTCGCCAGTATGATATTACTCCCGGCCACGAGTCCCCTTCACTCTCGGTCCGACCGCCTGATTCGACGCTGAAGACCGAACAAGGTCGGCAAGGGTCCGTTTCTAGAATAAGCAGTATGTTCAAAAACTCAGGGATGATGGGAACGTTCTCCAGCCGTCGAAGCCGGTACGGTGGCAAGCGAGAAAGTGTGGATGATACCAGCCAAGAGGACAGTGCCGAAGATCTAAGGCGTATCTTGGAGAGACAAGAAAGAGAAGCAGACAGAATAGAGAATGTCCGCGCTTGTTGTGATGGTGAGTGTATATTCTTTTTTTTTTCTCTTCAATTGGTCTTGGATAGTTTGTTAACTCTTATCGTTTCAGGCAAACATGATGTTGGCTCCCTTTCAAGAACTAGCCGCTTCGTCAACTCAAGGCTAAGCAATCACTCACACTCCTAGGCTGGCTGTGTAATCAACCCATGCTTATAGAACGGCTTTGCCAGCGATGCCTACTGCGGAGTAAAAGAAAAGCAAAAGTTCCAACCTTTTGGTGATTGTCCACCTATTACGAATTTCCTTAATTGGTCTTCATTTATGACGTGTCTGGCTATCATGCCGCATCTTCACTCTACAATAACTTTTGTAATACTCCTATTATGCTTGTTTCTCTGTCATCTTCGTTCATTTTACGTTTTTACCTTGGCCTTTACTTTTTCGACTTCTTTTTTCTATCCAAGACTTTCTCCCCTGGATGATGGTGCCTGATTTTTCGAGCACTTGTCTTATGTTTCGCTTCTTGGAGCCATGAGCTTGGGTAGAATCCTACCCTCTTCAAATTATGTACCAACCCCTTGTTCAATCGTTTGACATCCGCCCTGCATTTTAACCCTTCCTGCTCCAAAAAATTCCTTGATTGCGCAGCTGTGAATACTTACTCTCTTTTTTTGTGCAGATTCTTCTTATTAGTATATTTGCCAATTTCCTTTTTTCCTTGACACTTTTTCCTTATGTTGAATTGGCCAATATATTGGACCGCTTGCCCTCCTTTTTTGCATGCCTTTCCATCCCTTGAGGTGGATTACTATAACTACTAATCTTTCCTGTCGTTCCGTTCCGTTCCTAGCATTGTCTTCGATATCTCGTCCTCCTATTATCTTCTTCCCTTCTTGCCTCCTCACACCTAACTCTCTGGCTCTCCTTATTTATGCATTCTTTTCGAAGCATTACTAGCTAAGAAAATACAACCTGCCTTTAAAGCCGTTTTTTCCCCCCTTTTAGGAATTCCGTTTATCAACTGCGTAGCTATAGATCTGTTACTAGGCGCCGGCCAGGTATCAAAACAGCCAACCGGCCATGGAGCCATCCCAACTCCCTGTATTCATTCTACCGTGCAAAACGAAACAAGCACTAAGACTGAGTTTCCTGAAACCTTGCCGACTTTCCCCCTCCACAAGATCAATATAAAAAAGCGGCCGCAGAATACGAACCTCAGCCAACAAGGGCGTCCGTCTCCATCGCTTCTTTCCCTCGAGGCTTGGATGAATATTTATTCCTTCCGTACTCCCAGAGTCGCTTCGGTTGGCCTTTGGTCAAGCATATTGATACCATATAACTACTAGCTACAGTCACGATGTCTTCTCCTACTATTGGCCAACGCATAACAGAGCTTGCAGAGCCTGGGTTCCTCGGTGTCTCTGCTGCTTACAGTGAGTTTCGAAGCAAGATAGATCTGAAGTCTTTGTAGACGGTAGAAAAGGCCTTTTCCAATACATATGTTAACTTTTCTTCTAGGCTTTGTGTCGGTGATGCTCGAGACCATGCTACGTGGCCAGCCGCTTGCGCCTATATTCAAGCTGCAAGAGATCAAGGATGAAGCCTTTTCCAGATTCTGGATCAGCTTTTCCGGTAGGTGGCTTTTTGATCTCTTTGCCCCTTATATCATCATGGTCAGAGTGGCATGTATTCTATAAGTATATCAAGATCTATACCATGGACGTTGTATTTCTCGGCCCACGATATATCTCCAAGAGAGAAGAAGTCCAGGCATTGACATAACTACTCTAGGTGCTCGTGATGCATCAGCTCCTGCACCAGAGCCTGTTGGTTCAAGTCTTCTCATACCGCCTCTGCTCGCTCATGCCGACGGAGTAGTTCTGGACATCGGCCCTGGGACAGGGACACAAACGCGCCTCTTCACAAACCCGAATCTACGCATAATGTATGGCGCTGAGCCGTGCCTAGGACTGCACAAGGACCTGCACGCCAAAGTTGAATCGTGTGGTCTGTCGTCAAAGTATCGAATCTTGCACTGCGGAGCTCAGCCAGAGTCCCTGCTTCCAGCGCTCAAGAAGGCCGGTGCGCTTAACGATGCGACTAACGAAGGCAAAGGTCTCTTCGATACCATCGTCTGCGTCCGAGTCCTGTGCTCGGTCCCTGCACCGGAGAAGACGGTAAAGGGTCTGTATGACTTGCTCAAGCCGGGTGGGAAGATGCTAGTCTGCGAGCATGTGGTGAATCCCTGGACCACGGCCAAGGGAAGCGTGGTTGCAAGAATCGTTCAGGTCGTATATACGCTTTCTGGCTGGAGTTTCTTCATGGGTGGATGCAATATGGATAGGGATACAGAACGTACGCTGCGAGCGGTTGCTGACGTTGACGGTGGCTGGGGGAGCATCGACCTAGAATCGTCTTTTACTTCGGGACCATTGCCCTATGTCTCTGGAACTCTGGTCAAGCGAGGATGAGACAAGCTCTTTCCAAGCTATTTCGTGTACCTAGGGTTTAAACGTAGTTCTTGAGCAATGTATACAGGTATATTATGATTGTATAAGTAAGATAACTAAATGAGGATATCAGGATATGTTGTCATAAATCGTAATATACACGCCGCCGTGATGTATTTCATAAGACTAGGATGGATGGTGGAATTCAAACGGGAATAATCTACAAGGGAATGCTTACGGCGGCGGGCTTGGGTCGGTTCGGGGGCCACCAGTCGAATAGGTCCAGTGCTTCGGAAGTCCAGGGACCTTGTTGGACTTCCTCCTCCGGCTCATCCACAGGCGGTAGGCCCAGTAGCCGATCTGGAAAAAGCTTCGTTTGAACAACCCGCTTCTTAGCCACAGGTTGAGGTGGCTTCAAGGCGGATGGATCAGATGCTGCTTTCTCTGAGGGCCCGTTTATCGCCGACTGCTCTATCTGTTCACTGTGCCCGGTTTGCAGCGTGGCCACTTCTGGAGCTGGAGGTTGGGGAGAATCTGCAGTTTCTACGGCGACTGTCTCTGTAGCTGAAAAGTTTCGCTGCAGAGTTACGGGTTGCTGCTTAGGACTAGAGTGGTTTGACCCAGCCACGGCACCGCTTCTGTCATCATGCTGATTGTCATATTGCTGAGTAGTTGCCGCAGTTGGCTTGAAAAACCCCAGTAAGCTCATTTCCTTTTGCTGTGGGGCAAGAGGAAGCTCATTATCATTGCCTTCATCTTTAAGGAACTGTGCTGTGGATTGATATGAGGTTATATTCTTGTCCCTTGGCATCAAGGCAGACGATAGGTTGGAGATTTCTGTTTTCCTGGATGTTTCAGCGGTCTGAGCTACACTGTCAGCAAATTTTTGCCTTTCCCTTGACTTGGCTTGTTGTTCAGCAATCCTATCCACGAAAATAAGCCGATTTCGAGGTTTCCTTGGGGCAACTTCAAGGGTTGTTGTTGGCAAGTTACCAAACATATTCGTGAGAGATTGCTGATTAGCCGACACTTTACCGCTAGACTTTTTTCGACGCCCTTTTGTAGAGGCTGGCTCCGCTTCAACTGTACTCGCAGGCCGGAATGAGGTAGCTAAGGCTGATGAAAAGCCAGCTTGGTTTTCTTTTGATACCCCATTATACAAATATTTAACCCGGCTAGATGCTCGAACTTCGGAATCCGGAGCCTTGCAACGGTTGCTGTTAACGGGATCCTCCACACAAATCCCAGTAGGACGTGTAAAACTCCTCGATAGTGGTGCCGGTGGTGACGAAGGCGGTGGCGGCTGTGGCTCTTCTAAATCACATTCTGGAGAGGGCTTCCGCTTTTTGGCTGGTCTCTCATCAAGCTGGCGCATACTCCGATTTAACCGTTCTCGTACTTCATATGGAGACCTTATTACTTTAGTTGTCAATGTATTATTCTTCTTAATCCCGAGGACCTCGTTTAAAGACTTCAGCTTTCCACTCGATGGCCCACTGGATGGATAAGGTGTTTTGAACTCATTCGACCGTTCGTTATTGCTGCTCCTTGGGTATACTTGGAACGAGGTCGGTTTGGTAGGTGATGGCTTCCGTTTCTCCAGCAGACCCGTCAAATCAGTCACCGTGCTCTCAAGCTGCTCCCCAGCCTGAACTAGAACGCCTCTCTCCAACTCAAACTCATCTCCATCCTGTAGCATGTCACGGTCTCGCCAGTGTAAGTCACCGACTAAATTCCCGGATGGATCATAGACCATGACGCGTTTGTTGAAAGTATGGAATCGTAGGAATCCATCCTGCCATCTCTTTGCTTTTCGCCTGATATCGTGCGTGAAGAGGCATTGAAATTTGATCACTGGCGCGGTATTCTGCGTTGGTGGGACTGATAGGCCGGATTTTTGTGAAGCCATGGCTCGGTGTCGGCGACCAATAACATTTCTTTATATATCTCCTCTGATTATTCTCACTGTCCTCCATATATCTTCTTCTTCTTCTTCTTCTTCTTGACGTTTGAGAAAAAGAGGTTCGACATCAAGACTTGCCTTTTTGGGCTAACGCGTCGACTTTGCTTAGTCATGGTTATCGATAAGACGCTTAGTCAGCGTTCCCTCTTTTTCCTAAGAAGGAAATTTGTTACTTCAACTAGTCATGAAGAGGAAGAAGATCGCAAAAGAGCTTTGGGAGTGTTTTCTGGTTGGAAGATGATCAATATCTGACCGGCGAAGATGGCTTGTTTAGCAGTTCTTCCGTTGTCAGCCCTGTCCTGGACACTGTATAGGAACTAATATGATAGAGTTCGGAGCCGTTGCAGAAGAGCTATCAAGAGCCATCCCAGCTGTCGACGAACAAGCAAACAGAGAAGAGATGGCCAGCAAAAAAAAAGAAAGAAACGGTGCCAAATGCCAATTCCGCAACTGATACAAGCGTATGGAGTACGGAGTACTTCAACGAGAGCATCGTCTTCTTCCTGGAGAATCCAACTGGTTATCGTGTCAGCAAGGTGCAGCCAGCTAGCCATGGTTCTTGAGACAGGCAAAGCCATCGCAGGGATAGGCTTGGGGTCTAGGCTGGGTGCACTTCTTGCTCTTTAATTATGTTTGAATCTAGCTGATGCTAATAACCGCTCCTGGCGCCCTGTTATTTAGAGAGAGATATATAATGGTATCAGACACAGCCATCGCAATCCCTGGAATGACCCTCGCATAAGGGGAGCGCTGATGATAAGCTATACACATCCTGAACGGAACTCCACCACTTGGCATTTGCTTAGGTAGACAAGTATACACGCGTAATCGCTCGATCGATGCTTACTGAACTGCATCACCTCTCTGCCAACTTGCCCATACAACAACTTTATCCAGCCCAGCGAAAAGGGCACGGTGGAATCCAACAAGTCGCACAGAAGGCAGAGAAGTTGATGAAACAACAGGGATCACTCCTTCTTGACTCTGTGACGCAGCAGGTTTCCACACTCTTACTATTACTTACATTCAACATCCTCCCTTCTTGCTGTTCGACGATATATTAATATCTACTCTGGACCAACACATGGGGGGATGCTGAGTGGCTCTCTGCATCTGGAGGGAGCCCTTATTTTTTTTTTTTTTGCTTCGCCCATGGTGGACCCCGCTGCGCCCATGATATGTTATCGACTTTCAAATAAATTTATTCTTGTTCCCTTCGCAAACAGCTCTTCTCGCGCTTGAGAGCTCCGTCTCGACCTCAATTAATATTACCCACAACGGCTGCCTGGTCTACCTCGTCGACCAGGCCGTAAGCCGACATCAAAGGCTGAGCGGGACGAAGCTTACCTTACTGTCCGTATTGGTTGTTTATCGCAAACCGCCACCATGCTCAACATAAATCGCCAGTTCGGCAAGTTCATGAAGCGTTCAGCGGATGAGAGTCAGGTCTCTGTTCTGCTTAAGGATTTCGATGATGCCGATAAGCTGCTACAGAAGGTATTCCTTTTCGTTCTCGTTTTCCTTCTCTTTTATTTACTGACACTCTTGTGCACGTTAGATCATTGAATCGAGTAAAGCATGGCGCGACGCATGGTCGTCCATCTTCACATACCAGGCTCGACTTATCCTGGAATTCGAGCAGCTGTATAACCCCATAATCGGCGCGTCGGAGCCATCGTCAGACCATACCCCAGCTGTCGTCCCTGAACACACGTTACACCGTGTAGTCCGATTGAGAGAGGAATATAGTTCATTAAAGGAAGATCTAGTCGCGGAAGTGAGTGCTGTCGATGACCGGATCATTCGACCAGCTATGGACGCAAGAGATTATCTTCAGCCGCTGAAAAAAGTTATAAAGAAACGAGAGGATAAAAAGGTCCGCATTGATGATATCACCTAATGAAGATTACCTGGGGGCAACGTGTATAAGCTGACCGGTTTTACTCATAGCTGGATTTCGAAAGGTATCAGGGCCGAGTAGACTCAGCGAGGAAGAAGACAAAACGTTCTGATAGAGATAATGCTGCTTTAGCAAAGGCTGAAGCGGATTTGGCCAAAGCTACAGATGTAAGCGTTCTTTTCCCTCTACTAGGACCAACAGCTAACTTGGTATAGGATTACAATGCTGCTGATAACCATCTCCGCTCTATTCTTCCAGGGATAATAACAGCAACCTTCTCTATTCTCCCACACCTTCTGGGCGCACAGATCGAGATTCAAAACACTCTGCTGGCTCTTTACTATACCTCACTCCACACATACTGTGAAGAGCAGCAGCTCCCGTCTCCCCCACCACCAATGGAGGATATAATCCGGGCATTTGAGGAGAATTTCCTCAATGTACAACGTGAGATAGAAAGTTTCAACTGCATTGCCGGCGGTAAGACTGCCCGTCAGCCCCGGACATCCGGCGACCAGAGGAACGGGAACCACGGCTTGTCAAATGGCCGGCCAGTTATTGGTGCTAGCAGCAACTCGCGCAAGCCATCTACCTCTCCTAAATCCCTTTCTCGCCTGCCATCTACCCCGTCATTGGACCCCAGACCCCGAATCGGCCGCTACACATCTTCCTCTCAGCTCGACACCTCTCCCGACCATCAACACAACTCTCCCTCTCCAGCACACGAGCCCCCAAGCAACAATACTGTCCACCATTTTTCTCCCGCACCTGCACCCCCACACAACCCACCCCATTATGTTCCTCCCATACCCACCAGTACGAAGCCAATCCAGGCCACAACCCCTTCTATGGCTGGGATAGCATCTCTTGCAGCCGCGGCTGCGAAAAAGAAACCTCCACCTCCACCGCCACCACGGACGCCATCCGCCAGCCAAATTCAATTTGTTACTGCACTCTATGACTTTGGCGGGCAGGGAGCTGGAGACCTTGTATTCAAGGAAGGGGATCGAATCCGTGTCATCAAGAAGACGGATAGTACTGATGACTGGTGGCAGGGAGAATTGCGTGGTGTCAGGGGCAGTTTCCCCGCAAATTACTGCTCGTGAACAAGATTGAAATAAAATGATTTAAAATAAAGAATATACTGCCCTTTTTTATCTTCTTTCCATCTCTTGGTTTGATTCTCTCCTGGATACTCCTCTTGATTCATGGGTGCCACGTTCTCCATGCTAAAGTTATTATTTTGTTGTCTTCTGTTTTCCTTGTACCTGGTTGCATATAAAAAGATCATTCTAGTCAAAAGCTACTCATGTAGGTTTCTAAACCCACTTGATAAATAATATGTAGCCAAAACAGTTAGCTATTATCCGTAGTAATAATGCTTTTGCTAAACATATTGATTAAGCTATGTAGACGTATTGTGTATCCGAGCAAAGATAGCTATCAACGCCACCTGACGTACACTATAACAGCATCGCCCAAGACACAAGAGTATGTTAAGCAAGATAGAAACTTCATAAAAACGCTGGTTCGGGGGTTCCATCTTCCGAGCCTCTAGTCGTCATTTGTCTTCGCTCATTTAAGAATATATCCACCATCCGCTTCGTGCTAATCGTACTGTGTAGACCATTGAGCTTTGAAGCATAATTAGGGCGGTCACTTTGACGGTAGGAGGTGGAACTGCATTTGTTTTCTTTGGTAACATTCACCGGTTCACGCCTGTGACGCACAGGATTAAACTGGATTTCCCGCAGCAGCTGTTTGCCATCGCTCGGACATATAGGTGAGGTTGATTTCCCATAACGGGCTCGGGAGGACTGGCCACCCCTGGCAATTGGCGAGTCTTCCAAAAGAGCACTTTCCACAGATGGCCGCGTTTTATGGTATAAAAGGGGAGAAATAGAGGCGGTTGTTGGTGTCCTTGAAGCACTCCTGGTTCGAAGAGATAATGGTGATGGAGTCATTTCGCTATCACATATATCTGGAGTGTATGGCTGGTGAATAGCAGACGTTTTAATGGATGGTTTCCGTACCACTGTGCTGCATGTCGACAAAATGCCATTTGGTGAGCTACGTAATGGCCGTGAGAAATTATTGCTTGGGATAAACTGTGCTTCTGCTAGATCCGTTTTGCCTTTGTTATCCGGTGCCTTTGCCTTGTGAATGCTACAAAGGCTCGAAACTTCATGGGTTATGAGTTTATTTTGAGTCAGCATCAGTTCTTCAGGGCTTGGGCTATTAATCTGGGTATCCTCTCGGTAATGTCCCGGAAGAGAATACGTAGGGTTCCCTAAACTCGCCGAACAGGCTGCGGTATCGATCAGGTCCATCTGAGAATTCATCCATATTTTCCAGTCACCGCTGGCTCCTCTGATGGCCTGGCTTGTACGTCTGGGCCGATATGGCAAACGTTGGCTGTCAAGTATTGTGGCGGTTCCTCCCTCCTCATCATCAGAATCTGAAGCATCAACGTCAATCCGGCTTTGGTATGGAGACATCACCCCCGTTGTCCTGGAATAGACGCTCGGGGAAAGGGGCGGGTTGGCATTGTCAAGAGACCTACGAATGATCACACTGCCAGTGTCTTCTTGTGTATCCAGTCGTTCATTTTGGTACTGCAATAACCCATTTATCTCCTCGTTTTGAGAGATTGGTATGCCCAACAGATCATTTGGATCCAAGCCGCGAATTGTCTGCTCCGACTGTTTTCGGGAGAGAATCTCATTTTTTCGTGCAATTTCCTGCGGAGTTAACCTAACAGTTCGACTTGACCTTACTGAGATTTGGCTTCGAGAACTCGGAGATCCCCTTAAGGCAGGTCTTGAACATCTCACGGAAGATACACTTGGTGACTGTTTTACCGCTCGAATCGTCAGCGGGGAACAGTTTGCTGACGATTCAAGTATTGACTTGGTTTTCTGCGATATGGACGACATTTGTTTCGCTATTCTTTTATTCTTAGTCTCGTCAATGTTTCGCATAAGGGCGGAAAACATTCGCTGGCTATCAATGTTAACAGCATTGTCCCGAGGCTGGCGAAAAATGGAGTATCCATCATGGCGATGGCGGCCAGGTGAAGGAGTAGGGGTGTACGCATCACTATCCTCACGAATGATATCTAGTCCTTGTCGAGCTAATGGAGGAGGCTGTTTCATCGTTATTGTGTTACCAGCTGTCGAATCTGTCCAACTTGTCACGCGAGAATTCGACGTGGCCATGCTTGAACAGCTCTTCATCGAACGAACACTGGGGGCCGTGTTGGCAGCATTTCGCGACAATAGCTGGTCTCTATAATTAGTATAATCAGAAGAGCCGTCAAAACAACTAGAGTCCTCGGAGGAACCGATATTGGGTGAGTTGAGACCGTGTTGGGTGTCAGGCTGCTCTGGTGACACCTCATGAGTACCTGAAAGTCGCCTTCCAAATATCCGACGGAGGCTATTTTTGATAGAAAACGAGAAAAAACGTCCTTTGAATCCAGGGCGGGTACCGGTGGACGTATATCTTAAAGGTGTGCATTTGGTGTTCTCTCCATTGGGTCTCATAGACTTTTTGAAAGGCTTTGGATTCTGTCGTGGCCTTCGTGTAATAGCTGACTCTGGCACGTTTGCTGCCCGCTTTTGTTCCATACACTTCCTAAACTATTCTCGAGCCAGTTCAATCGGAAGGTTTGGAGGGTTTGCCCGGCTGTTTGGAGCAGCCTTTGATTCGCCATTGCCCCTAAGAAACGACAGGGATCTCCGAAGAGTACGATGAGAAAGGCGGCCAGTGCCCGAACTTGCACTTCGGTTGTTGTCTCTTTGAGGCAAGTGTTTCAGCTCATTGGAGCCGGAGAGCCGGTGTGTGCAAAACATGGACTTCGATTTCCGGAGCCTCCGATAGGAGGATGGCCGCGGTGACGTTGAGCTGACGTTGAACCCATCCTGCTCCCCCCTGGGTTGTTCAAACGTTGACGGAGAGCCTTCATGTATGGTCGGTTCGGCAATATGAGCGGTCTGGCAGCAACTTTCGCTCTCATTATCGCCGGATAGGGAGGCGCATTGTCGATAACCGCTATCAATGCTAGAAGGTTGATCGCACGAGCCCTTGGCGCCTGATGAGCTGGATGAAGGATGATTACCATGACGCCTCATAGCAAGAGATGCTGCTGCTAAAGCCTGCAACTGTGCCAATTCGGTATCAAATGCTTCCGAGGATTTGACTGGACGACGAGTCTGGACAGAGACCGAGGACTTTGACCTCCTGACTCTCTGGTTGGCGCTTGAGCTTCCGGAAAACATATTTGATTTCTGACTCTCTGCTAAACAGACTCTGTGGTGGTATTCTAATATTCCTATAAGCAAAATACAAGCCAGTATTTGAAAGTGTAATGCAGGAAATAGGATATACGGAAACACTATGCACTGTGATATTATGGTTTTCGAAGAAAAAAACTTCAATTGTTTCTTCCTTTCACCTGAATTGATATATGTTGCTGTTTTATACAGACAAGCCCAAGGAAGGCCAGTATCATAGCTGCTTCTTCCTCTGAGAGTAAACATCAAATGTAAATAAACAACCAAAGAGGGTATAGAAGGTGAAGCAAGCGCAGCCCATACATAGCTTTTGCAGCGCATCAGGGAAGTAGTATATCTGGCTAGATATTCCCGCTCCATTCCGTGAGGAGATCATCAGTTTCTGCAGCTTTGAGGCCATCTGGTATGTAGAGCTGATAGGGAGGCCAGTCTTCTTCAATTCTGGTCGAGTTCATAGGCGTACCTACCTAGCAGCCTATCGAGAGTACCATTCATCTCGACAGCTCAGTCTGGTATACCAGCTCACTGACAAGGGGTTTGAGTTCCAGGAACACTCGATGGCCTGTCCAAGGCGAGCCTCTAGAGTCCCAATCTCTTCGTCTCGCACGAAAACGAGGTCTTTTGCTGGCCTGATGACCTCCAGGGATAGCCTGAAAATGACACGAATAGCTCGTTCAGGCCCCTGTTATCTGTCTCCCATCTTCTACCTCTACCTTCAGGCCCATCCCTGGGTATGATTCTCTGTTGGTGGGTGGTGAGTTATCAGTGGTCGTCGTGATGATGATGCGGTTGATCTCAGCATGTTCGACGTTTGTTCTTTTGATGGCCAAGCAAGGCGCGTCTCGTGATCATCAAGTAAAAAAGGAAAAAAAGGGGGGGGGAAGAAAAAAACAACATCCACAGCTGACGAGACGTCGGATGTTACGATCTTTACCAATATGCGAGAAAAGTTGACGGGGTGAGACAGCTCTTACACGATGAATACAACATTGCAAGAGGAGAGTCCACTTTGCCTTGCAGAGTTAGTTATACGAGGGTGAAAAAAACCCAACCTGCAAACATGCCAGAAACCCCATATAGGCGGAGTATACGAAGTGAACATCTCTTCTACATTGCATAAATAGGTTATATCTCTATAATGTCTATGGACAATACATATGCTAACTACCAACCAAGCAGGGAAGACGGAACATGTGCTACAGCCAAAGTCTTCAAAAAAAGGGGGAGGGCCCACGGAAGGACAACTTGCACATGAAGGCTGGGAGCTTCGCTTAAGCTTCTTCAGAAAAGACAGCGAAAAGCCAGAGAGAATGAAACCATAGAGCGGAAGAAATTAACCAAGAAGGGAAGGGGAAAAGGGAGGGAAAGAAAAAAAAAGCAACTAGCGGCAAGCTTGCGGCTTTCCCGTCCGCGATATGTTTGCTGCCCAACCTCCCCCCCATCAAGGGTTTCGTTCCATTACGCGATGAGAACCAGAGCCGGGATAGCGCAGGCACAATGTATTGCCGAAGAGTGAGAAGCAGGTGCAGGTCTGAAGGGAAAGCCGAAGTTTCGAGACTTGGGGAAATCTATGACTGTGTTTTGCTGTACTCCTGTCTTGGCTGACAACATCGTGCATGAAGTTACCAGCCTCAGCATGACCGGAGTAGTGGAAGTATGAGGGCCTCTCACCCCGTCTCTTTCTTTATGCATATGCATACTCCGTGTTCAACATATCGTAGCACTGCCACTCGTTCCTTCACGGCTCACCGGTTGTCCCTGATAAAGTTGGACAAATATATCACGCACCGGGCAGGCCTGGTGCCTGTTCTTCAAAGAAAAGAAAAATTTGAAGGAAGCATATACCTCGCCCTTCATTTATCTTCCTTCCCCTACCCACCCTTCCTATTTTTATATATGCTGACGCGCTGTAAGGAACGCGCACCTACCATGATGTCAAAAAAATATCTAATATAAGCGTTGGCGGCTGCATATCGATCCCTCAGGGAAACCCCGTTGATCGTTGCTTGAGATGATGCCCAACTTGCATGTACGAATGCATCAAGGATCATGGGGAGGGGAGGAACCAAAAAGACGGAAGACGGGAGTCACTCTGTACAGAACCACGTACATGTGTCAGCTGGGATAACTGATATTCTCTGCTTGCATCTCTATATGCACAGTGACGGAGGTAATGCAGGCAGACGATTATACATCATATGCAAGTCACCTCTGTTATTAATAATCTAACTGCAGCCAGAGAAAAGCAAAGAAGAAGAAGAAAAAATCATCCCTCCCCGGCCTTGCTTGATTTGCGCTGTTGAGCAAAATAAGCTTAAAAAGACATTTTTTGTTTATCTCTTTTAGGCCCTGGCAATTCAAGTCCATCCTTTGGATGTGCCCTGCCACCTTGCCCTGCCGCCCTGTGCTGACGACGACCCGGAATTAGCCCTTCTTTTCCCGTGTTTTACTCATGCTACGATGACATGTCACTGGCATTGTCATAGCACGTTTCTGGGCAAAGGAATGTGAGAGGGAACTAGAACTAGTTGGCAGAGAAATGAGAGGAAAAAAAAGTATGAAACCAGAGGATGGGATGTACCGTGTGGCCCAGACAAATCGAACGACTAGCCCTACGGTGTTTCTTCGACACGGACTATGTATAATCACGGAGAACTGACACCGAGCGTTATATATACACATGTTCCCTGTTCCATATATAGGGGAACAGTGTTATATGTAACCTGGGCACTGGTTCTCGGAACCCGCATGGGCGTAAAGACAAAACAAGGCTGAGAAAATATCGCGGCGAAATTTCCTCCTTTCTTGACAGCGCCCAGGGCTGGAGAAGGGGAGATGAACAGTTCTAGCCACGCTGGTCTCGCCATCGTATAAACAAAGAACGCTTCTAGATCGTGCAAGAGATCTTCCCCTTATAGCGTCTCGTGAAGTTCGGCTAACATCTTCTCCCAAGGCGTAGCCTGGCTCGGCTTTGACATTTATTGAAAGAAAAAAAAAAAAAATAGAGAACGACAAAGTCTGGACCCTGTTGCCGATGGATCCGCCGTTTTTTTTATTTTATTTTTTTATTTCACGCTACCTCCCAGACGGCCCCGACGCTAAATTTGATGTCAGCGAGGGCGGTCCAATTAACAAGGGAATCAGTACAGGTCAGCGCCGTTGGAGAGACCCAGTCGACCGTTTTTTCCTTTCTTTTTTTTTTTCAAGTAAAACAAGGTAATCTTACTTTGATCCCACTTCTTGAAATTGAGACCAGACCGATTAATTTCCGTGATTAAGGGCGAATATCAGTCGTACCGGAACTGCGGGTGAAGAGAGAGAATGTGTTCTCCGTTATCCTCGCTTCCTCCTGGCCCTTCATAGGCACGGACACGTTCTGTATCTATGTCTGTGAGTGACAGTATAGAGCCCGCAGAAGTGTATATATCAGCCCCAGCGTTAACTTCGGGTGGCAGTCCTCGACCAGGCGTAACAAAACCTGTTTGGGTGGAATCGCCGGCTGTTTCAGGAGGAAGACAGTACCTTGTTGATGCCTGACATCGCCAGCAGCGCATCCATGTGGCTGATAATGGGGCAAGCAGAGTAAGCGAGGAAGAGAGAAGGAACAGCAGAAGCTGGTGGAAGAACAGGCCAGTCGACTTCATAGTAAGAGAGATCTGACTATGCAGAAAGACGGTGTGATACCGATGCAAAGGGCGGTGTCATCATCATCGTCGTCCTCGTCTTTCCTCGTCTTTCTCCTTGCTTCTTCTTCTTTCCTTCTTATTTTTCTTACTTGTCCTTCTCTTGCAGCCAGTCGTAGAGAGTCTTGTTAGTTATACAGCAACATTCCCCCCCCCTCCACCCCTCCCCCCCCTTTTTTTTTTCAATGCCGGGTGTCCTCCCGTATCAGGTTGGGCAGAGTAAATGTGAAAGAGGATATCAAGACGGGGTTGGGGGATGCAGAGATTGGCCCGTCTGAATGTGACGAGCAAGTCTGTATATCTCCAAGTATTAAGGCGTGGGTGGCTGAGCTAGGGAAGAGATAAAAGGGCCGGATGCTTCTTCCTGCTTCCCTCTTTCGCCTCTCTCTCTCTCTCTCTTTCTCTTATTATGATTATGATATATTACTATTACTCTTCTTACATCTTACATCTTACATACTACATGTACGATCCTCGTGACGGTGATCCACTGCAATTCCCGCCTTGACCCAAAAAGAAGAAGTCCTAAGAGCGCGCGCAAGAAAAGTCTCAAACAGCCGAACTGTTTGGCCTTTTTTTTTTTTTTTTTTTGCTTCTTTTTTTTTTGCGCCCCCTTCTTGCAAAAGTCCACATCATTATAGATTTTTTTTTTCATTCTTTTTATATATATATTTACCTTGCGCCTCGCTCCCCTTTGATCCATCTTCTTTCTCCTACCTCCTCTTCTTCTTCAGTCGTCTCGTTGGCTGCCGCTCCTTTCTTCTGCTTTTCACACGATTGCTGTTTTAATACGTTCTATATACCAACCTTCTAATCCCTTGGGCAAACTTCCTGTTCAATTCCACTCCTTGATTCGCATACCGGTATATACAAGTCTTCACCTGCTAGCTGGGTTATTCGTCAACTTGAGGCAAAGAAAAGTGTGTTGGAAGTCGGATCTGCAAGCCTCATCGACCGCTACGGAACAAAAAAGAAGCCTCTACAAGGAGTCTGATATTCAACGACACTCACTCCCTTTTTATCCTTTTCACGACACTACGCCGATAGTCATGTACTCCTGCGTCAACTACCCTCGCGGATGCCGTGGTCGTGTCAACATTGATGGTGCCAAATGCGCTACTTGCGTGGTAAGTTGGTTGACTTACATCTGTATATAGAATATACCAAGCTAACTCGTCTTTTGCAGGCCTCCAATCTTCGTCGTCCTGCTTCTCCGTCTCCATTTGGCTCTGCGTTCCGCTCTCAGCCTGCCTATCGACGGGCATGGCTCGAAGACAAGAACGAAGATGACGAGAAATAGACCATGGATGAACCAACCCCCTGAGGCCTCTTTTATTTCGTTTTTGACCGTCAATTAAAAGAGGGGGAAAAAAAAGCATTCTACGAACTTGGACTGGATTCCGTATACAACCACACACACTCCTTTATTTTTTTTGTCAGCATATGCGCCTAGGTGCAACATTCAAAGACCAAAAAGAAAAAAAAAAAACAAGTTACCCTATGACCCAACTACCGACTTCGAACTCGCATCGCATCTCTTCAAGGCGACGGTCCCTCTGGACTAGGGACCTTGCTTTGGCCTTCCTCCTTTTCCTCGCGCGCGTGTTCCATCTACCTACATCTCACCTCTCTGGATTGGATTGCCCGTTTTCTCTTTTTATCTACATCGTATGACTATTATATACGCCGAGCTGAACTGCATCTGGAGGCTATTGTGTTTTGCATTTTCTAGCAGATTGGATTACTGGTTTTTCTCTTTTTCTCTGATCATTCCGGATTTATCGCCCTTGTATTGTTTTTCTTGTCATATAGCTTTTCCTCTTTTTCTATAGCAACATACCCCCTTTTTTTTTCCACTGCTACCCGTTTTTTTTTTTTCTCTCTCCCCTTCTCGTTTATGCCATATACTACTTTTAAAATATGAAATAAAGGAAAAGAAGGCCTGGCATTCATCCTGTCTCGTCTTGCTTTTTTCTTAGTTACTTGTCCTTTTTTCTTTTCCTCCCTATCTGTGGGCAAACATACAAACGGAGGTTCCACCTGCAGCCCAACATCGATATTTTTTGGGTTCAGCGGTTTCAGGGGGTGGCAAAGGGGATTTCCTTGATCTTGGTTTATCGACTCGATTCCATGTTAAAAAAAAAGAGAGAGAGAGATTCCGACCCCAAGTGGAGGTTTTATTCTCGTATACTAAAACAAAGAGCTTCATAAGGTGCCACCATCTTCTTTTCCGCCTCGTCTTGGTTTTGTTGCTGCCTTATACTATGAAGCCAGTTAATAGACTTGTTCTACGCCTCTTCTCGATCATTCTGTCTTGCATCCTGCGTCTTTCACTAGTGCCTTGCTTGGCCCTTCATACTCCAATCGACTTGTGTATCCGTGACGTAAAAAGCGAGAAGTTCGTCCTTTTCCAAGCTGCACATATTTTAATGATAGTCCCTATAATAAGATTAACTAAGGGGAGGATATGCGTATTGATAACATTCGCTCTCTAGTTAATTTCCTCGACACGTCGATAAATATTACGATCATCGAAGCGCCGAGCCAAAGTCCTTGACTCTTTGACCGGCAAGCAACTAGCCTTTGCTTGTATATCTTCATCCTGGACCCAAAATCCTCCCGGTTGGTAACTGCTAGTGGCAGCCTCTCCGCAGAGGCAAGGGCTTTTTCTTTCTTTTTCTGCGTTTCTTTCCGCCTTCAGGGTCTTCATCAAGGTGGCTGGCTGGGTGACATCATATTGGCGTTCGGGCTGTTTGCTTGAATTCTTTGGTGCGTTTTTCCTTACTCTCTCTTTCTTTTCCAGTATGGACGGGCGCTTCCAGGCTTAACTAGTAATTTGCACTGGGAGCCTGTCTGTTCAAAAATGAGATGTGAGCTGATATTCAAAGTGAAATGCTGAAGTTGCTGTATTCGAAAGAAGGTTGATCGCCATGGATATGCATGTAAACCCCCCAGCCAGTCCTACCCTTTCAGTGTTCTCCGTAATAATAAACGAATAAACATCCATTGCAGGGCAGAGCGAATGCCTGAGCTTTCGATGGTTGATAATATTTTGTTGATATCGCCAACAGCGCCACGCAGGCCGTTGAGCCAACAGCCCGATACCATTGACCCTATATCCACTTAGTTTGCAGCTGAGCTTTCTGTTATATAGTAGTAGAACATTTTTTTAAGCGTGTTCCAAAGACGCTTACTATGAATTAGGGCCTCATTGCCGCATGACTATAGCATTATGAAACAAGGCTTAGAGTGCTCTGATGGATCCCGTCGTTGACACTATTTGGTTTTGGATAAAATGCTCCCGGATTGAGGGGAAGGTAACATGCTGTCGAAATCCTCATTACTATTATTGAGCTCGACACGCCGGAGAGTATGGATAGACGGTATACCCTTTCATCGGCACCCAAGCATCTGCTCACATACCCACCTTGCAGTTCGAGTGTGGAGGCTTACTCCCTCCTCATCCCGCTCCCCGTCCGTCGATAGATGAGGACGCGAATGTGTCAATCTCCCAAGCGCTTCAAATACAACGAGCTGATCCCTCATATATACATCAACTGCCTTCTTGGGCAGGATTTTCCGCCTGTCCTCCCCCTGGTCTCCTGGATGGCTTTCAAATTCATCCATAAGATCTGTCACACATTGACCAATCATCCCCTTCATCCTTAGGAGAATATTATCAGTTTCTTCACCGGATTTTGGTCCCTTTCCGGTTTTTTCCTGTTTGCCATTCCTCTTGCTTGGCCGGTTGTGGAAGGACGAATAGAGTGCATCCCTTCCTAGTCGAAACCCGGTCGATGTGTGCGCAACTAGGAGGATATAGGTCTGTGAGTAGTGAGACGTTGCCTCTGATGCATGCAAATTAATAACCACGTCACCAACAATATTTGATTGCATCCTATCGTCCTCTGCGTCTATCCCTAGCCTAGCCGCCACGCTTTGTTCCCCGGCCCGGCGGGCGAGCTCTCTTGATAGGGCCCTGATGGTTTGCAGCATAACGAAATCTCGAGCGGTTTGAGGTGGTCCTTGCTTCATATTACAAGCATCACCCATAAAGGATTCGCCCCCGGCGTTGATATGCTTGTCTCCTTCTTCTGAATCATTCTGGTCTCCATACGGGTTTCGGTCTCCGAACGCGTCATGACAGGAGACAGCTTTCTTCTGCAATTTCTTGTCCCGATTGCGTCCCTTAGCAGATTTTGCAGAAAGTTCCTTTAGAAGCTTCTGTGCGAGGGTATCCGGTGCAAGAACTGTAACGTCTATCTGCGTGATAAATCCTTTGTCAAACGTCTCAAGCTCTATGCTCGGGAATATTACTGGGGTTGTTTCAACTTGAGCTCCGCCACCGCTGTGCGACGGTGATAAAGCGTCCGACTCTGCCACTCCATTTGCCGATAGTGGCGAAATAACGAACGACACAGTTCCTAATTCGGCCCATTGACCTGATGCCCATCCTCGCTTCTTCAGTTTCAAGGATAATGGCGGGAGGCCCAGCTTCGCAAAGTTTGGAATAAGGACTTGGGACATATAATCGTACGACGGAGAGAACGACACATGAGTGCCGCCAGTGATGTTTAGCAGTATTTCCTTTTGAGGCTCCCGTGTTGTGCCCGAAGCACCAGTGGGTTCTATGGTCGACGTGCACACGTCGGCAAACAGCAGATACGGATATAGAGCTTGGAAAATCAAGAAGACCGACCCTGGAGTTGATAGCCGAATGTCATACTCAGGTTTAACCGTGACACGCGGTGGATAGTGCATCAAACCGAGCGACAATTGCTGTAACGACACAGCCGTCTCTATCACATCTGAATCCCTCTCGTTTTGTGAACCGTCTCCCGTTTGCTGTCCCCTGGGATATATTGTGATTTCATGGCGTCCGACCTGATTTCCTGCCGCAGTCCCTCCACAGACATCCAGTAAGAATCTGATGGCAGCACAATGCGAAGCTTTTAACCCCTTCGAGCCGCTTCGGTTTGCACGTATGTGGCTGATGTGCAGTGGTTGTCCGGTCAAGGCAGATATGGCGACGGCGATGCGTACTAGCTGACCACCGCCCTCGAGTGTGCTGCCGTCTAGATGTATCATGTTGTTTCTTCTTCAGTTATATACAAATGCACTGTATGTGCAGTCTCTTATGTGAAGAGTGACAAGTCGTCAAGCCTTTATATATTGATGCAGTCGCGGCTGAGGTGAGTCATTAGTTATAGTGACTCGTGTCTGTAACTACCGACGGATAAACAACCCAAGCAAGACAGCATAGCCTCTTAAACAGCAACAATATATCACCCACAGCCGTAGAAGCGGTGGTTGTGTGCACATAGTACGTTGTGTTTCCCAAAGTGGGAGTTATCACATGTTTGGTTAACAATATATACATACACGCCAAGTCAACATACTGTGCTCCGTACGCCCTATGTAGAGTCTCTGCCCTCGCCTCCTGTTAAATTTCTACCGACTCTAGGGAGTTGAAACCCACATGCACTGGCCTCCGAGGTTTAAACCGCAGTCGTTTGTCGTTTCAAACAAAACAAGGCTGGAGAGATCATCGATTTGAATGTACTATATGTGGTTAAGGCCCTCCACATATATATAATGTTGATAAACACGAAACCAGCATATCCAAACTCACTAATCCGAAAGGCTTCATCCCTTTCTCCTTCCCTTGGTGGACGTTGTATTACAATACCCCATAGCCATATGCGTTCCATAGGATATGATATTCCGTGCTAATTTACAAACTCCATAGAGCGGCTGATAATAAGGTTGGCATATGAGGATAATTTTACCATTTAAGCTAAGAAAGTTATCCTTGCACGGAAGATGAAACGCTTGCAGCGGTTTATAGAACAAACTATAGGTGGAGCAGTGTTTTCAAAATATATGGAGTCCCCTATAGTATCCATGGTCTAGAGCTGAGATAACGGCCGAAATCCAGCGGGAGTGTTGTATTCGGAGTTTATATTCGAGACATTAAGGAGATACCAACGTACGACGCTTTACCCTCGCTGAGCTTCATAGTTCAGCCATCAGCTGAAAATAGAAGCTGCTTGAGTATTGGCAAATTAAGCGGATGAAGAGAGTGGCCCTGCAATAGTGGCTGACGGCATGAGCAAGACGGCTCAGAATAGAGCGTATCTCCTCGAAACAACAAAGGACCCAACATCACTAGATATTCCAACATATCACTTAAAATGGGGCAACTAAGCATTGTAAGTTTATACATGGCGGCTTATGGGAGATGAAAATTATTCAAGTCCATATAGTGTGAAGTATCCGGCAGCAACTCCCAAAATTGCTGCTAATATCAAGCCGTTCCCTTCCCAGGTAAGAACTAAGTAAGCCAGGACGCCAACAGCAAGCTCCTTCTTTCTGGCAAGTGAACGTTTACCTTGCCATTCGGGGTCGATTTCGAAAGGAGGGGAAATAGCTGGGCTTTGGGTTGCTGGCGGCGTTTTGAGAGGGATTGAAAGGGACAAGACGACGGCACGATGATCTGATGTTGGGAACAAGGGTAGTATACCGTAATGGTGAGCTTGGACTTTATGAGATTCATCTCCTGGAAATGGGTTATCAACGTATAAAATGCGATCACACCAGCTGGGCCATCGATTTTTGGCCCACATGAAACCCTTAGCAGGGTGTGATGAACAATTCTCGCGGGCTTCTAGGGAGTATTTATACGATGGGGGGAAAGTAATGGGCTGTTCCGAAAGATGATGCATAGTCTTTTTTGCTCGAAGTTCTCGCGTTAGCTGGTCGTGGGCAAGCAGGTGAGTATAATGATTGCTGCTGCTCGTATCATTTGTAGGATGGGGAAATGCTGGTATATCACCAGGCTCTGGGCCTCTATGTGATGTACGATAGTTAAGGTCACCCGCTATAAATAGATATGAGTTTGGCGAATACATTCCGCTGCTCCTTGTTGCACCAAGATAACCGGGAATAAGTGGTGTTCCTTCTTCGTCGTGCTGTCGGCCCTCCGGGCGTCCAGGTCCGCCCGTTACATCACAGCTGGTAAAGACAAGCCTCTGGCATATATCTTTCCAGTCTTGATTCCTCCTTTCGATACCATTTTCATCGGGTGCAAGGTGTGATGATACGAAAGTCAGGACAAGCTGATCTTCGCTGTCGTAGTCCGCCTGATAGCCTATTCTTGCCCCAACGGCACCTTTATTGCCGGCCTGGTGAACTCCAACACCAACCCCTGCTGTTTCCTTCCATGCAATACGGTCGACGAAATCATCACGAACGAATACCATGATGGCTGTCATTCCCACATTTTTCGTCATGACATTCTGGTACCGCTGGTCTTCCGGTGTTGCCAGGTCGACAGCAAGCCTAAAGGCGTCAAAATACCATTCTAGAAAGGGTCCTCCGAGAAACGCATATGCAATAGGCGCGATTTCTTGGAGTGAGAGAACTAAGACTTCCGGGTAGTAGATTGGGTCGGAATCCTTTGAGAGGCCATCGAATAAATGGGAGGCAAATACGTGGGTATCAATGGTGTTTCTCGCACAGTTGAATGTCAATACGTATGCATTCATACATGCTCTGGAAGCCAGCATGGTCGCGACATGGACACAACAACACGGTTCAAGTTGGAATATTTCGGTTGTTCTGCTCTTATAAAGGACTAAATTTGAATCACGTGACTGACTGTTTTAGGTAATAGGTAACTTGGCTGGACATGGATATAAGGGAAGCGAGTATATAAACAACCTCCCGGCAACACCAAAACAACCTGGTTCAAGGCCTTTGTCAAGCGAGCCATGATAACGAAGTACGAATACTTTTTCTTGGCTAAAGGATACCCCCTTGCCACTCGAAACCGTATCTCTGACCCCCGAATAGGTGGAAAAACCTATGAAGGCTGGGACTCAACGCAGTTACCGGACAAGCATACATCCTCTTACTAGCATATTGCCTGCATGCCAGACTCAGGGATACCTTTAGCATTAAGCTACGTTGGAACCGCTACTTTAAGCTCATTTACCCGGACCCATACTCAGAAAGGCGGTGTCTTCTTGGCTGTTGAAGCCGAACAAAGTGGTCGCCTTTGAAATACAACTGGGCTATCTATGAACTGGTCAGGGGAGCGTGCAGATTCCTCCAATAACTACCAACGGAATGGAGCTTCTAGCACTTGCTAGATAAGGTGACATTACGCTCTCCTACCAGCTAGCTGTTGCCGGAATCTTTAATCGTCAGTTCACTTTTATACACTAAATCCAGTCGTCATCCAAATTTGATGCAGGTTTCCCCGTGAAATGTTCATTTTTCCACACTCCGAAGTTTATTCAAATACTGGGTTATTTTGTTCCGACTTACTCATGCTGGCCTAATTCAAGCTTCTCCTTGAGCGATTCATTTTCCCACCAGAACCTTTTCAGCCCTGTGGATATGCCTTTAGCTGACTCGCAGATATATATAACCACAGTCTAGGTTCACGATTTACTTTCACTACCATTTTAACTTTCTGTATACATATGCACCTCCGTTGAGATAAGGCTTGATCATTCGTGAACTGTCGGGTTCTGTCTCCAGTCAACCATCCTGATTACAGAATTTGATAATCACACCGATCGCGCATCGCGCATATGTTCCTCCACCCTGGAGTGATCCCTATATTCCCTTTGGTGTTTAAGATATTGCGTTACTCTTACTTACCTTCTCATATTGTCAGATTCTGTTAAGTATCCTCCGATTATAATTGTAGTCTGCTCAGAAATTGATTCCTGAATTGGTTCTATATTTCACAGGAGCTATTGGCTTTTAAATGTTTACGATACTTAGTGAAGGATTACGCATTTTATATATTGCATATCTTCGACAATCCCGATATATATTCGGCTTTTGGCACTCAATTTAATTCTTTGGCTACTAGGACAATATCTATAGGATCACGGATCTACCTAAAAGTGGAGCTAATAAAAAAGAGAGAGAAACAATGTATTAAGGAAACCAGCTAATGAGTAGATATATGCGGCCCCATGTCGCCTTGCAGTCTTCTGTGTATCTTATTCCATGGTTTTGTTCAATATTCTTTTGCTGGATGCCATTAAACACAGTAAATTACTGATGAAACATAATTGGTTACTTGGGAAAGATCTATCGTACTCGGATTATAATTTATGGCTCACTTCCTCAATACAAAAGCCTGACTTGCTTTGCTCATCTGTAAATCTATTATAAAATGCCCTAGTTCATTAATTAAAACCGACAGTGCGTCTCTTGTCTAAAAGAGGAAAACAGTAACTCCAAAACATCTAAACACGTACTAAAATAATAAAAGGGATAATAGGGAAGAGTGTATTGATAAAACAAAAAGAGAAATGAGACGAAAAGAAGATATTAGGCCCAATAAAACAAATGGAAGAACGAACAACAACTTTTTCACAAAGGAAATAGAAGGGAGAAAGAAGGAAGAGGAGGAGGAGGACCAACAGAAAGGTCTAACTCATCACCAGTTTATGACTCGCTTTGGGAAGAATTCATCGATAAGTTCAAGGTAGTAAGGCTATAAATAGGGTATACGAGTTAGAACCACGAGCAATAATCCATAGTAGTGAAGAGATAATACTTTGTTCTTCAAAGGTCGAGGTGGGGGAGGGGGGGTTGAAAATACCTTGAGGTCCTCGATGTTTGGGATTTTGTCGCTCTTGCTGTACAAATCATAAGGGTTGAACTCCTGAACGGCCTTGAGCATTTGATGGTCACGCTCATTCATAAACTCTCGATAGGCACCTTCTGTGTGCCAGGGATAGCACGAATGGTATCTTATCATTGCTAGTGCTTCCTCAGGTAGTGTAGACTGCGTTTTTACGACGTTGTAAAGGTACTCATCATGGCCCCAAGAAAGCATGACGTTGTACATTCCGCAATTAGGCCAGTACATGCCAAACTTCGTGCTATAGACCTCATGAGTGGAGTCGGGGTTGTTGGCAAATGTTTCAGGGTATATAATTCGATGATCAAATGCGCAACCAACAGGGAACGTATCTCCAACAACGTCCCACTGACCTTGAGCTCCGAAGAAAAATAGGAGTTTTCCTAGGTCATGGATAAGGCCAACAAGCTGCATCCATCGTGGCTTCCCATCGTGCCTAATGGCTTCCGCTGACTGGAGTAAATGGTGGATTTGCGAAAGTGAAATATCGGGGTCCGACTCGTCAATTAGCGTGTCTAGCTTCTCAATTGCCTCCCAAACGGTCATTCGAGCGCGAACTTTGGAATTGAATGCGCGCCTTGCTTCGATGTTGTATTCCACAGTTTGTTTCTCATGTTGTTCTCGGTAAAACTCTTTGACCTTTTCGCAAGCCTTGTCGTACTGCCGAAATTTAGATTTGTCTTTCTCTTTATCGAGTGGTGATGGTTGCGAACTTGATTCGGCTAGCTTTGCCTTCATGACATTGACTGCGTCGACATCATCTGAAGTCTGTTCCAATAAGTGGCCATTAGGGGTTGAGCAAAGCTCCATGCCGGCAATCGTTCCAGGCGCCATTAGTGGAATATGTGGGCAGAGAAAAAGGTGAAGAGATGGATTCAGAGGATATTAATGTAGCAAGGAAGTGATATAAAGTCGGGGGGAATGGAAGGTATTTGTACACTTCCACGAAAGATGGATGATTGCTTCGGGTATGAAGGGGTCTCAATCAACGGGGAGGGTAATAACAGCTTGATATAGATTCGCAGGTCCTTAGATCCCGATACTGCCGTAGACGGAAGACAACGCACTCCTGGGTCCAAAGGAAAATTCAGTTGTCAAGAGACCAAATCAACTGTATTACACGCGCCGTTGCATCCGAGCTCATGACTCTCTTGTGGGACAGATGCAAAAGGCCTTTGAGAGACGGCGATTGGGAGTAGAAATATGTACTGGGGCGGGTCTGTCAAGAATAACTATCAAAAGGTGACGGGAAACGTGTTTGTAAAAGAAATTCTTGCTGGGAAGGTGGTTGAAGAATTATAATCTCGTCTGCTGAGGAAGGATAGTCACAGCTTTAAATTCGCACATCATTCGGCGTACCTATTATATTAGTATATATAGATAATCGCACGCCTCACCCTCGTTATTATTATTTTATTTTCTTTTTGCCTCTTTTCTTTTTCCCTTCTTTTTTATTTATTATTATTATTATTATTTTCTTCAGAGCGGGAACATGCAGAACCTCTATTATTCTGCTTGGTCCCTGGCATGCAACGGTTATCGTGCATGTAGGTCAAAAGCGGAAAGGTACACAGTGAAGTAAAATAAATCAGACCTGCTGTCGAAGCTCATATTTCCTGTTTCGAGGATGATAAGAGGAACGAGCCTTTAAAGGCCAAGCAGCATATGAAAACTGCTCGCCTCCCTGACCAAGTATAAAAAGAGCATAGTCTTTCCATCTTTTTTGGTGGCCCAAGCACAGACGAACAGAGGCAATGAAGCATCCCATTTTGAAAGTATTCGGAGAAAATCCAGCTAGGGCCTCTAAAAGCCACATCCGTAAGCCCAGAATTCGGGTGGGTCACCAAACTATGTAAGTTGTAGAATTTGCATGCCGCCATCAGCTAGTCGCGATATTAGAAAGACGAAAGGTCGAGCTTCCTTAGCATTTGTCAGGTCGAGAAAGCACATGTAGTATAAAGACCCGCTATCAGGGGATTCCCATGAGGATCATG